TAGGTGTTGTGCCATAGCGAGTCAGTATGCTGCTGAAGATGCTGAATCCAAAGAGAACCCTTGAGATTGGGGTCTACACTGGCTACTCACTTCTTACCACCGCTCTTTCTACTCCTCCTGATGCCAAGGCAAGCCAACTTTGATTTCTATTTCGTAAACAAATGAATCTCAATAACTCGATCGAGTAGGTAAGATAGATGGTTTCTTAATTGGAGATGAAAATTTTAACCCACCCGATCTGATATTTACCCGATTTGCAGTATCGTGGGACAGGGCATGATACACAAATTCTGACCTGCCCATATATTACCGTTCTTACCCATCATATCTAAAAAAAATTCAGTTTTTTTGTTTTTCATTCATATTTTCACCCTACGAAAGTTTGGATAGGTGTAAGATTTTCTTTCAACTAGTTAAACGCAATTACAAATCTTATTATCACTATTTTGCATCCGTAGATTGTGTTCCTTTTGTTTTATGGGAAACAAAACAAAAAATTGTAATTTTTTTCCAAATAACATGAAAGAATGGGTCAATCCTTTTCACCATTTACTCGATAGTATTACCCGACCTGACCCACACTTAATGCGAGACGAGTATGAAAATTGAGAAATCCGTCCTGTCTGTTTGTCATCACTAATCTTAACCACTTTCTTACACGGTTTCTTTTTCCAGATCACGGCGATAGATCCGAAAGTGGAATGGTACGATGTGGGGCTGCCCTTCATTAAAAAGGCAGGAGTTGAACACAAGATTGACTTCATCCACTCGATAGCACTTCCCGTTCTTGATGATCTCCTCCTCCAAGTAAGAACCAATAATTAACCAACCTGCTTCGTTTCTTCTATGTGTAATTACGCGATTTAGGCACGCTGGCTGATGATTTCACTGAGCTGGGCGCAGGGGGGAATTGAAGGGAGCTTCGATTTTGCGTTCGTGGACGCGGACAAGCGCAACTACGGCAACTACCACGAGCGGCTGATGAAGCTGGTGAGGATCGGCGGCGTGATGGTCTACGACAACGTTTTGTGGGGAGGCACGGTGGCGAGCCCCGACGGCGACGGTGTCCCCAACCACATGAAAAAGAACATGGCGATAGCGATTGAGTTCAACCGGAAGATCGCCGGCGATGACCGCGTCGAGATCTGCGTCGCCCCAATCGGTGACGGCCTCACCATCTGTCGCCGGATTTGTTGATCAATCTGATGGACCCATGTTTCCTTTCCTTTGTGTTGTCGCCGGGAAATAAAGAATGATATGCTCTCCATTTTATATCGCTGCTAATTGCCTGTTTTGTTTGCAGACTCGTGAATTAAGCTCATGCTTGTTGCAGAAAGATTTGTTGCTTTGTATTTTTTTAATATGCATGTAATGTAGTCTCAGCTCTCAAGGAGTTAGTAAACTGACAATTTTATTCGTGGTACCAAAACAACCATAAATAATTTAGAGCTTGAGCCTACAAACTCGGCTGCCACTAACTAACCCTCAACTCCATAACCCTTTAAAGTAGGGGTGGACATTTGATCGATCCGATTCAAACCGAACCGAACAGTTGAATACCGGATTCCTGAAGTAGTGTATGAGGCAAACTAAATTCGAACAGAAATATATTTCGGTTCAGTTCGGTTTTAATACCCCATCTGAAGTTTCAGAAACCCTCTCTCTCTCCCACTTATCCTATCTCCCCATTCACCATTTCTATTACTCATAACAAATTATTTCTTCTTCTCTCTCTCCCCTCAGAGCACAAAGCGCCGGCGATTTCTCCTCATGTTGCTGGAATCAATGGCAATTTCTCCTCCTGTTACTAGACTCGGTGGCAATAGCGATTGACGGAGAGAACAACTCAGGTGCAGGCGGCGATTGAGATTGACGGAGAGAACAAGCCAACAACGGCAATGACGAATGTTAGAGGTTAGTATGGGTTGAAATCCAAGCATGCATGGTAATTTTGGCTTAATTTTCTCCATCTAGTTTTAGTAGCTTCGTCTCTGTTTTGATCCAGGAGGAAAAGAAAGCTTCGTCTCGCGTCGATGGTAGTCTCTCCGCCGCTCAGGCCACCACTGGATTTGATGGGAGCGAGAGGTGGTGAAGCGAAGTCGGCGACGCGATGGGATTGAAGGGGAGGCATGTTGGAGGTTGTGGTGTTGGAGGTTGCACTTCAGAAGGATTTCTCTACTTGTGCCCGAATATCCGGTCTATTACAGAGGATCTAGAAAGCAGATCTAATGAAAGTAACCAAGAACCTGACCCCCGACATTCCGCTTAATTGCCTCCTCGTGATCCAGCACGCCGTCCGGAGTCGTGATCACTACATAACCCCACTGCATCACAGGAGGAGAGATCAGAAGAAAACCCACAAATCAATCAAAATATCATGTTTAGATTGGGGGGGCATGATGGCACAAAAGAAACTTGAGCCCAGACCTGACGTGTCGGAAGAGTTTGCTATGTGTAAGTCTCTATGTCCTTTGCTTTGGGAAAAAATCCCAAAATACACACGTTATTAAAAAAAATTCTCAAAATACATACGTTATAAAAAATATTCCCAATGTACACATGTTTGGAGTTCACCGTGGCTGTCAACCGCAGTGAATAACATCACCGCGGTTGTTAAAAGCGATGAACGCTTCACCGCCATGGTCAGGAGCAGTGAATACTTCATGGCCATTCACCGCTGGTGTCCCAGGCGGTGATGGCCAAAAGTACAGTAACCGCCCCATCTTATCATCAACACAAAGAGATCGATCGGAAGAAATGACGAGTCATAGAAGGCGGACACTTTCATGGCTCCCATCCTCTGCTGCAGCGTTCACAGTCCTTCTTCTTCTTGTCAGGGCGTTTGCTACTCAACTCACCCACGTTTGTACTCACATATATATAATCATCAAAGATTGTTCAATTATTAATGGCTGTGCCGTTATGTACTTTGACGGCTGCGGCCTCTCCGACGTCGTCCACGACGTGCCTCCTCCTCCACCTCCAAATTCACCGTCTTCAAAACCACCACCGTCCCTCCCTCGCCTTTCTCCAGCATCAACATGCTCATCTTCCTCCCCAACTCCCCCCGGCCAACATAGACGAGGAAGAACAAGATCCGCGGCGCGCCGATTACCCCTCTTCGGCCACCAACACCATAGCGACGGCGCGAGACGACGGCAGCGACGACTTCTACGTCTTCCTGCTCCTCCTCGTCGTCATCTTACGAGGGCGGCGCCACCGCGGATCGGGTGAGATTGTCGGCCGCGATCGGGAGCAGCATCGCGCTGGTGAAGGATTTGGACGTTCCGTACGGGAATTTTAGGGATTCATGATGCAGATGAATGGCCATCACCGCGTGGGACAGTTGCTGTACTTTTGGCCATCACCGCTTGGGACACCGGCGGTGAATGGCCATGAAGTATTCACTGCTCCTGACCATGGCGGTGAAGCGTTCATCGCTTTTAACAACCGCGGTGATGTTATTCACTGCGGTTGACAGCCACGGTGAACTCCAAACATGTGTACATTGGGAATATTTTTTATAACATATGTATTTTGAGAATTTTTTTTAATAACGTGTATATTTTGGGATTTTTTCCTTTGCTTTGATGTCTTGTCTGTAAGTAAGCGCCTTGCAGTCTCTTACCCTCCCTTGTAATTCAACCGATATCCTTCCCACTCGATGTGGATCAAATACTTGATAATTTTTAATGTATCCTGTAAACGTTCAAATATATGAGTTGAAGAGACTCAAACACAGCAAACAAAAGACCCCAGTTTGAGCTTTCAAAGAGGAGATAGAAGAGTACACAAAACCCGCTACTAAGGCTGATAAAGAACTTCTTTTTTCTAGTTTGAGGCAAGGAAACAGACAATAAATGTCACGGTCTAAGACTAACCACAAGAGTGAGCCAAGTCTTAGTTAACTATCAAAGCTAGGTAATTAGATCAGAATACAGCATGAAACCTAAGTTCTAAATAAATTCTGATACTTGCAGGTGCCATACGACAGCAATCATCCAGTCGGCTGAAATACTCTCAGGTCTTAAGTCAGTTGATGTCACCCAAGAAGATCTAATGCTCTTGACAAAAAAAACATGGATAACAAAAGTCTAATATATCTTCCGATAAAGTTGCAGTTTGCATCCCCTTCACTCCCACAGGATCCAAAGCAGCAACTGCTGACTAGATGCTGAGACCAGATCTTCTTATGACGTACTGCCCCTCCCATCTCACACCTTGTACTGGTTTCTCATCTATGCATCTCCCAAGAAGTTGACAAATTCTAGCTAAAACAACAACTAAAAAAGCCAGTTCTACGAACTAAAAAACTTGCTGTTGTAAAATTCACCATACTTGCATTGAAATGGTGGAGTCCTGTTCTGCTGAGAAATTTATAATCTTCAACAGCAACAACGGGAGACAAAATGCAAAGAGGGACAGTGCAACAAAAAGGGGGTTTCCCAGTGCTATCTAATTCGAAAACACTTGCGTTATAACTTATAACCCTATAGGAAGTTACTTGCTCACCCTAACCCAGCCATAGAGATACGAATCTACCTGAAATAAACACACTGTTCCCTCAAAAGTCGATGCAACTCTCCAGAATTTCTAAGAAAGACTTTCCATTTTAACTGCATTCCCATTGTAAAGGCTCTCCATTCAATTCGAAACCTCCGAGGCAAAGCACGTACAACCCATCGTAATGGCTAAAAGGTACCAATCAAAGCAACGAAACACCATGGCCAGTCACTCTCAAATCTCTAATTACACTAACCAGCTCAATTTAGCCGCCACACAGTCCCTAAAATGAAATGCATCTCGATTCTAAGCTGAAAACTGGAGACACCCAATTGAAGTATCGCAACCTCAGAACGAGACAACAAAAGCTGATTGGGGAAATTAGATCCAGAAGGAGATAGTTAGTTAGTTAGTTAGTTATTTACCTCGATCTTTCATGATCTTGAGGAAAGACGACATGACGGTGGAAATCGGCTTGAGCTCCACCGATGCCTTACCTCTCTTTTCCGCATTCACGATGGCCCTCAGCGCATCGTTCAGTATCCTCCTTCCCATCTCTCCCTCTCTCTCGGGAACGCGAAGGCTGCCTGTAACAGAAAAACCCCAGAAGCTTGACGGAAGAACCGACGATGGATGCGGCAGTCGGCAGAGGGTTTATCGTTCCGTCTCAGTCTGGTGGCACTTTAGGTAATTTCGAGAAATTTGTGGCCATTTACGAGAGAGTATGATCCTCCGAGTTGGGCTGGGCCGAGTTTACGGGCCTGAGTTCCGGGCTGCTGGCTTCACCTGCCGGGAACAGGTTCCAAAACACTCATTCTTAGTCTTTTGTACAGTGTATAATTTCCCCTTTTACATGTTAATCTTGTAGTGTTGTGCTTAAAAGCACTTAATCTTGTGTTATTATGAGCTTGCCTTTGGCATGAAAGAACAATGATTGAGAAGACATGAACAGTCTCTGAGTACGTTTAAGACTTCAAATAAAACCATCCTTGTCCAGTTGTCCACACACTAATTATTATCCATGCTAACAAGGTGAAGATGTAACCTTGTTTGAAGAAAAATATCCGTGGGGGTACAATGCTGTTCTACCCACATCTCTTGATCCATCATACATCACATTTCCTACTAATGTGCTTCTCCAACACCACACTCCCTCCGTACTATTTAATAGTTCTTATGCCTACGAAAGTATTTAGTATGTTTGGTCACTCACATTACTCATTTTTAGTTACTAAAAATATTTAATTTCATCTGTGGTCATTAGGTTTACTAAAACATGTGATGTTTGGTTTCTCTCTGTCAAACTCCGTTAAATTTGTCTGATGTGTCAGTCAAGTATCATAATTGACCGTTAAATGTATGATGTGGGAATAAAAAATTAATTTTAAATTTCCAGCTCCATTATCTTTACCATTAAAAAATAAAAAAATATATTCATTTGGATTCCCTTAAGCTAACGAACTAATCTCACCTCTCTTTCTCAAAATTAATTCAAGATTTGTAGATCCTGAGCCCGGATTCTTGATTGTGCACTAGATTCGGCCCGTTCAACTAGAATCCGGCCCCTGAATGACCGGCCAGTTCCCCCGCCACCTCCAAGCCACGTGGCGGAGTCCCAATCCTGACGGACCCTCGATGTCTCTACCAGATTCAACCAAACCAGCTTTCAGCAACCTACGATTCTCGGAGGACGACGGAGGGTCGTTGAAGCCCACGCCAAAAGATGCTTGTTAGGGACAATGTTGCATCTCGCCTAAGCCCAAAACCACGCAACGCCGTCGGGTGGTTCCCCGAAGAATTAACCACACATGACCTTCGCAGGCTTCTCTCTGCATTCACCGATTCTGCTTCGTCTACAAATCGTGGTGGAGACTTCTCTCCAATCCCGATTTCATCCGGCAAATTCTCTTCGGCGAAACCAGTCACCACCGTGACGACGAGGCTCAGATTCTGGTCATGGGCAAGGACGGCGGGCAGAGTGGCAGACCCTATACTCCATTCTCTTCCCCCGTATCTTCCCTGACTAAGATCTCCTACCGGAATCCAAGAATCGTAACTTTTCAAAACTATTCCTCCCAACCGCAATTGCTATAGTGACTTTTCCCCAAGGTGGTGCTTGACAAGGTGAAGGAGGTCTCGTGTTTGGATGCTCGTGGTGGGGCCATTTTGAGGGAGATCAAGGTGTTGAGACAATGCTTTCTCCATTCTAGTGTTTTTTTTTGTTGGACGTGCTTCGTAATCGGGTGTCCTATATGGTGGCCAGAAAAGTCCTTTCATTGTTCCCTAGTTTGATAGGGTTCGATTTTCGTTTCTGGCTATGATCGGCTAATTAACTTTAGTGTATCTTGATTATCTCGTTCTATACGAAGTATTTTTGGAGGAAAAAAATTCTAACAAAAACTCAGGAATAAGGAATAAATTTTGAATCCCTCCAATTTTACTGAATTTTTCCCCCACCCTCTACTTTTCATCGCTCATGAACACAAGATAGGGTTGTGTGCACATCGCCCATCAATCGATGCCTAACCGCTCCACCCATCTTGAGTGCTACCATCCAACCTCTTCAAAGTTCCACCCGTTGAATTTAATTCCCTTTTCTACCAAGTAACAACCCCAGCGACTTTGAGAGGAATGGAGCCGCACTGATAATGAATGCCATGAGCAACTAACTAACTATCTCATGTCTGTCCTCCAACTATAGTTAATTTGAGTTAATGCTCATGTTGGCCCCTAAACTGTGGTGTTTTCTTAGGTGGCCCTTGAACTTAAAAACATCTTATTACCATAATCCCACCCTTTATTATTCGTCAATTCATTGTTGAATTTGTGTCTCACAGCTGATAATCTATCGGTACAAGATATAACCGATAAGACAGAGCACACGATAAAAAAGTGTATTGAATGGAGATTAATAACCATGCATCCTGGATATGATTCACAAATCACAATTAGTGTTTATTGACTCATATTATATATCTTTCGGGCTATATTTCTTTCTTTTTAATTCAAAAAGTAAAAAAGGATTAACAATCATGTAAAGTTTTTCACAGTAAAATTTTATGAATTATATCTTTTTCGTTTTAATTCAAAATTTAATATATTTTTAATAGAAAACTCAGGCTCTTGAAAATTACAGCCTCTCTGATATATATTCGAACAAAATTATTTTTAGGTGGTACGATTTTTGTAGATCACAAAAAAAGTTCATGTTCATAAATTGACTAACCACCTGAACCGTATAGGATATGTCAGGCAAGGTTTGGGTCTAATATTACAAGCTCCCAACAACATTGCAATAACGAGAGCCATTCGAGAGCAGCTCCACATCAGACTGTCTAAAGCCGCAGGTTCTCCATAGGAGTAAATGGCGTGTATGGTTTTTCCGCTCAAAATATGTCACAAATTGATATAATTTTGTAGATGACAATTAACTCGATCGATCTGTGTAAACAACTTCAAATTTTAAGTTTAAAAAAAATAAAAAGTATTTTAATCCCACCCTTAGATCTCACTCCAGTAAAAACCAAGAGGCGAGATACGGTTTACGCATACTGCCCTATAACTGTGTGTGTTGCACCTTTAGTTCTATATATATACTCAAGCCAACCTGTCGGGTCAATCAACGAGCTGGGGTCAATGAACGCGAGACTTGACTTGGATTACTGAGTTGACGAGTTTAACATAGTTTCGAATAGGGCATGAATGGAAATGACCACTTCGTCATACATCCAAATTTGTGTTATCGAATAGTATACGAACAATTTTTTTTTTCTTCTTACCTTCCCCTGTTCTGAGTTCTACATTAGTTACGTAACCTACTCCCTGCTTCTTTCCCTACCTAACCCCAATGATTGACATTGCCAATAAGTGCAATATCTATATCTCTATCCTTCTGCTCATCACATGTGCTACTACTAAATACTCTCCAACCATATTATCATTTCCCTCGTCTTACTCTTTCCTAATTCCCTATAGCATTTCTCTGCTTCTCCAGTTCGTTTCCAAACAAAGATGGAAATGCCAGCGGTAATTTTACCCAACCCACATTTGTTGCAGAGTGACCACCTGTTCAAGGTTCGTTATTCCTTAATTCGATCCCGGCGAGCTGAAAACTGGATTAACTTGAAGTTTATGGATGCTCTAATTGTCTAACCATATGCCTTCCCTTAATCTCGCAGTACATATTGGAGACGAGCGTGCACCCGAGAGAGCCACAAGTTCTCAAGGAGCTCAGGGATACTACCGACGCCACAGATACCGGCCGGTACTATTACATAATTACCCTAATCATAGTACTAATGAACGATTAATGTTCTTAATTAATTAAACCCTTTCTGTCAATTCGTTTGTTTTTTTTTTTGGGTGCTTGGTAAAATTGTGGAAGCTAGGTCTTCAATTGCTTTGGATCCACACTCTGGGCAATTTGTGGGTATGCTTCTGAAGATGCTGAATCCAAAGAAAACCCTTGAGATTGGGGTCTACACTGGCTACTCACTTCTTACTACCGCTCTTTCTACTCCTCCTGATGCCAAGGCAAGCCAACTTTGATTTCTATTTCGTAAACAAATGAATCTCAATAACTCGCGATCGAGCTGGTAAGATATGTTTATATGTGTATGAATCTTTATTGGGAATGTCAATTTGAATCCGCGCCCCATCTAGTATTCACCCGATTTGCAGTATCGTGAGGGCCTGCCCTGTATCCCGACCCGTCTCGTCCTTGATATCATTTTCTCTCAACATCTATTTGCATTTCTCCGGTTTTCACCCTATGAAAATTTGAACAGGTGCAAGACTTTCTTTCAACTAGTAATAATATGACTCAATTACCAATTTCATTATCACTATTCTTCATACACGGAATGTTTTGCCTTCGTTTTTATCGTGCACAAAAGGAATTCGATTTTTTTCTTCAAATAACATGTGAGAACTGAGAATGGGTCGATCTTTCTCACCCTATATACTCGCGCGAGTATTACCTGACCTGGCCCGTACTTGACGCACTGAAATGGGTATAAAAATTAAAATACCCACCTCACCCGTTTGTTATTACTAATCATAACCACTTTCTTACACGATTTTTCCCCCCCAGATCACGGCGATAGATCCGAAAGTGGAATGGTACGAGGTGGGGCTGCCCTTCATTAAAAAGGCAGGAGTTGAACACAAAATTGACTTCATCCACTCGCTAGCACTTCCCGTTCTTGATGATCTCCTCCTCCAAGTAAGAACCAATAATTAACCAACCTGCTTCGTTTCTTTTATGTATAATTACGCTGGCTGATGATTCACTGAGCTGGCGCAGGGGGGAAATGAAGGGAGCTTCGATTTTGCGTTCGTGGACGCGGACAAGCGCAACTACGGCAACTACCACGAGCGGCTGATGAAGCTGGTGAGGATCGGCGGCGTGATGGTCTACGACAACGTGCTGTGGGGAGGCACGGTGGCGAGCCCCGACGGCGACGGTGTCCCCAACCACATGAAAAAGAACATGGCGATAGCGATTGAGTTCAACAGGAAGATCGCTGGCGACGACCGAGTCGAGATCTGCGTCGCCCCAATAGGTGACGGCCTCGCCATCTGTCGCCGGGTTTCTTGATCAATACTTCATTGCTTGCTGTTGCTGATGGAACCATGTGTTCCTGGAAGGGGAAAAGAAAACAAATCTAGAAATTTGACTCAATGAATTGATAACTCAAATTCCTTTTCTCCAAACCACGCCTTTATCTCACTTAAAATATCAAATTTAGATAATCATCATCAATAGAATATAATAGCTAATAGGCATAATATATTTGTATGGCCCGAACTTTTTACAAATTAAATGTAATGACCAAACTTTTTGATCTATAACATTGTGGCCTCAACTATGCATCAAAGTTACGAAATTGGCCAAACCCGATATTTGACCGTTATCTTAGACGGAGGACGCGTCGCGTCACTGCCAAGTTAGCACATACCACTTAAAATATTTGATTTTCTCCAACCTATTACCATTTATATTTTTCAAAATAATAAAAAACCGGCGTTCCTCCCCCCCCTTCTTTTGTTCCAAAATAAAAAAGATAAATGATTGAAAAAAACCAAAAATTTTAAGTGGTATGTGCTAACTTGGCAGTGAAGTGGCGCGTTGACCGTCCAAGATAACGGTCAAAGATAACTTTTCCCCCCTTCTTTTGGGTTTGGCCAATTTCGTAACTTTGATGCATAGTTGAAGCAACGATGATATAGATCGAAAAAATTGACTATGATGTTTAAGTTGTGAAAAATTCAGACTATACAAATATATTAACCTAATATAATAAGCACTTTCTCAAATTAGCCTTCATGAATTCAAATTTTCTCTTATGCACATCAACATTATTTTCATGTTATTTTATTATTTTTACTATTTGTGTTTTTATGTTTCAATGCAATTAAAAATAACCATACACATATAATTAAATATAGTCATTTTACTCATTAGTAGAGTATAATAAACACTTTCTCAATTTAGCCTTTGTGAATTCAGATTTTCACAATTCCTATGCATCCACGTCAGCTTTATTTTCATGTTATTTTATTATTTTAACTAGTTTTACTTTTATGTTTCATTGCAATGAAAAATAACCAAACATACAAAATAGTCATTAGTAGGGTTTAAACTTTAAACCTCCAATCTATAGATGCTACGCTTTGTTTTGTTAAAGGCATTTAACTAGTAATACAGACTTTATTTGATACTAATCACAAATCTAATTTGATATTAATCACAACATAATTAGAGCTATCATATCATCATATGTGTTGAACACTTAGCTTTGAATCAATAATCTGTTCACTCCAGTTAGCTAATTATTAATAATAAAATTACCTGGCAATGAGCGGGAACAAAGTTAGTTGACACTTTGACGGTAAATCAATTTTCATGAAATCGATACTCTGTCTACCTAACACTTCATTACTTGATACGATACCCATACTTGTAGAGGATTACGCGCATCATTGAGTCACTGACGAATCGTTACCCATGCCGGCCATGTGCACTCCTACCTTTTAGGGGTGGTTATACGGTACGGTACGGTACGGTCCGGTTAAATTGGCACGATTGATTCGGTCTCATTCGATTTTTTCGGGAATAAGAGCTAAAGATTGGATTGGATACAGTTCGGTCTTGATCCGGTCCGGTTTTAATCCGGTCCCAATTCAGTCTTGATTTTAGATTGACCTTGTGGAAATTTGAGTGGCCTGAGACCTCAAAAGCTGAGGAGTTGGTTAAGTTTTGGGTGTTGGGCTCTCTTATCCAGTTTTTATCTGGTTTTCGATCCGGTCTCAATCGATTTCTTACTTCAAATCTAAGGCCGAAGATAGGATTGAATTGTTTGTTATCCCCTTCCAAACCGATCCCAATCCAATTTCGTATAAACCTAAAAAACCCGAACCAAATAACCAGCCCTACTACCTTCCCGCCGGTACTAAGTTCTTCCCGACGTCACCTACTCTTTGAATTTGCTTCATTTCCACCTGCCAACTACCAACCCCCTGCGACTTTGAGAGGAATGGAGCTTACTAGTGTTACCATGGTCCATGAGCAACTAACCACGTTAAATCAGCCCTTCTAATCTACCTGTACGAGTGAACGACTGAACGTGCACTAATGAGGCCCTATTCTAAAATTTGACAAGTGATTTAATTTTTAAAATGATAAGAAATGAAATGTTCATAAACATTTTTATTTAAACAATAATTTGAAATAAAAAATAATATATCTATTAACTCTTCAATCTCTGTATTACGCAAGAAATTAAATCATTTTCAATCATCTTCGTTTTTCCATTAAAGATTTATTGTGTCATGTTATGATATACAGATAGGACTTTAACGATGAATATACATGTCTCGTTTATATATACACGAGAATAATGATCAGTTAATAATTATCACCAATATTGATTAATATATTCAAGAAGATCCTTAGCATTGAAGTGGATAAGCTGGCCACAGAGGATGACAACATCTTCTGGTCAGCCTCGTCGGATGAGAGGTTCTCGGCGAAATTTGCTTATTCCATCCAAAACCAGCGACAACCTGATACGGACGAGGATGTTTTGAAGATTATCTGAAGTCTGCCTGTCCAGGAAAGGATCAGGAGTTTCATGTGGCTAACGGCCTTAGGAAGATTGGCGACAAGGTCCTTACTGTTCTACAGGAAAGTGACAACCAATCAAAGTTGTATCAGCTGCGGTGCTCTAGTCGAGTCCATTATCCATATTATGCGCGACTGTAACTCGGCTCGGTACTTCTGGTTTCGTCACATCCCGGCAAGCAAGCAGCACAGCTTCTTCAGCTCGGACGAAAGTATTTGGCTTCGTGAGAACCTTAAGAGCAGCGAGCAGATGGGTTCGGGAATGAGCTGGGCTGCCTTCTTCAGCGTCTCAGCCTGGCTTATCTGGAAGAATAGATGCACGTACGTCTTCAAAGGTTCGAGCGCTACTCTCTCCCCTCCATCCCTTGAGTTTTCGATTCTGGCTAAGTGTAAGCTTTGGCACGAGGCTTGGCAAACTCCCTCTCCTCTTCCCAATGGTAGAGGGCCGGTGGCTGCTCGTACTACAACTATGGTTGGTTGGACGCCGCCGAGGCATGGATGGATGACCCTCAATGTTGATGGAGCCTCTAACGGCAATCCCGGAGCTGCAGGAGCAGGAGGCGTCCTCCGCGACTGGACAGGTAAATGGATTGCTGGTTTCACGGCGAACATTGGGACGACGACAGCAGTTTTGGCCGAGTTGTGGGCCGTGTTTTATGGTCTGGATATGGCCTGGAAGAAGGGGTGTCGGGCGGTTCGCCTTGAGTCCGATTCCCAGCTCGCGATTCAGCTCATCAACAATAGAAATGATCCTGTTCACCCTCATGCTACTCTTCTTTCAGCGATCCGTAGGAAGATCAGTCAATATTGGTTGGTTAGCATCACTCATGTATATCAGGAAGGGAATAGAGTCGCGGACTGGCTCTCGAAGCACAGTCTCGTCTATCCCTACGGTATACATGAGGTTGCCAATCCTCCCCCTGAGCTAGCTTCTATTGTTAGAGAAGACGCCATGGACGTATCTTTTGAGCGCCAGATTGTGGCGCTTCTTTCTGACCCATAGGACCCCCTTGTTTCTTCTCGGCTTTGGCCTCCCTTTATGCAAAAAAAAAAAAAATCTAATGATAATACCACTATCTATGAATTAGATTTTGAAATATCCATTGCCTTGCCCGGCCCCTACTACTAATTATTTTTCAAAACCCCCCCAACCAGATCATTAACTCCCCAGTCGATTCCGCCACAAATTGTGTCATCTCTGCTTCTTCTATATGGTATAAATAGAGTAATAGACTTGTTTCATTATTCACTTTAGTTTCACAAAGGAGAGAGAGTAAACAAAGATGGAAATGCCAGAGGTAATTGTGCCCAACCCACACTTGTTGCAGAGCGACCACCTACTCAAGGTTCGTACGTTGAAGTTTGAACCCTAGCTATTGCTATTTGTGCCTTTCTATCTTCAACTTCATTATTATGTGACGCTACTTATATATATATATATATACAGGTCTTGCTATCTCTTAATCAATTCTGGCCAGCTGAAAATTGGATTAATTAACTTGAAGTACTTTAGTTGTTCTCTCGTTATCTAACTATTCCTGGCTTAATCGCAGTACATATTGGAGACGAGCGTGCACCCGAGAGAGCCACAGATTCTCAAGGAGCTCAGGGATACTACTGCCGCCGTAGATACCCGGTATTACTACACAAACCCTAATCATAACATGAACGAATACTCTTAATTCTTAAACCCTTCAATTTCTTTCAATTCGGTTTTTTTTTTTTTGGGGTTTTCTTTGCTAGGTCTCCAATTGCTTTGGATCCACATTCTGGACAATTAGTGGGTATGCTTCTGAAGATGCTGAATCCAAACAGAGCCCTTGAGATTGGGGTCTACACTGGCTACTCCCTTCTTGCCACTGCCCTTTCTACTCCCCCTGATGCCAAGGCAAGCCTGCGCGGATTAGTTCGTGAAGAGTTAAACACGTGATCTGCATTATCAAATCAAATTCAGATACCATATCATAAATCGCGGCTAATGAATCCCAGTATAGTTCAACGTTCACGTACGAATTTTAATCGTTTTCTTACACGATTTTTCTTTTTTGTAGATCACGGCGATAGATCCGAAAGTGGAATGGTACGAGGTGGGGCTGCCCTTCATTAAAAAGGCAGGAGTTGAACACAAAATTGACTTCATCCACTCGATAGCACTTCCCGTTCTTGATGATCTCCTCTTCCAAGTAAGTATATTTAACGTAGCCTGCTCGATTTTCATTTATGTATAGTTAATTACCTGATTTAGAAATATACAATTGCTAATAATTAATGATGATGATTCACTGAAGGGTGGAAATGAAGGGAGCTTCGATTTCGCGTTCGTGGACGCCGACAAGAACAACTACGGCAACTACCACGAGCGGCTGATGAAGCTGGTGAGGATCGGCGGCGTGATAGTCTACGACAACGTCCTGTGGGGAGGCACGGTGGCGAGCCCCGACGGCGACGGTGTCCCCGACCACATGAAGGAGATCATGGCGATGGCAATTGAGTTCAACGGGAGGATCGCCGGCGATGACCGCGTCGAGATCTGCGTCGCCCCCGTCGGTGACGGCCTCACCATCTGTCGCCGGATTTCTTGAATTCATATAATTACTACTTTCTGATCGATTTATTCATGCTTTCTTAATCCTTTGTGTTGTTGCCGGAAAATAAAATGATATGCTCTCCATATCGCTGCGATTAGCCTGTTTGTTTGTAGGCTCGTGAATTAATTAAGCACATGCTTGTAATTCTTTCTCGTCGCAATTCAGGGAAGTTTTTTTTTTTTTTTTTTTTTTTTTTGACAAAAGATAATCTTATAAAGATCAAAAGAGGTAGTTACATCCTGGATGACAGCCAGGCCTGGAAATCAAAGAAACCACTCATAGGCGGGTACAAAGAAAGGGCCTTCCTAGCCACCAAATGGGCTACCCTATTACTACGCCGACCTATAAACTTCACACTATACCCAGGATAACTGTTAAAATAATTTAAAATCTCCTCAAGAACAGCTCCTACTTGGTTATCCCTTGCATCCTCATGATTAATTTTATCAATAAGCACCTTTGCGTCCCCTTCAAACTTGACTACCGACAGGCCAATCGAACGGCACCAAACTACAGCCTCCCGGAGGGCAAGCAATTCCAGTACCATGGGGTCATCAACCTCTGGAAAAAGAACCCCTTTCACGAGCCAAATTTGCCTCGACGGCGTAAGCAGAACAATCCCACCCGCACCATGCGACCCCCTTCTCACTGCCCCATCCCATAAACAGACCGCACTCTCATCCACAGCACTGCCATCAGGGATGGTCACAGGAGCCACTGAACCCGTCCTAGGAGGCCTATCCACAGGCAGACGCACCCACTCCTCGTACTGCTGATGGAATTGCCGCATTAGAGCCGGAAAACCATATTGCTTGCCTTCAAAAACGACCCAGTTCCGCGACCGCCATATCCGCCACAGGATAGCCACCACTGCCATTAATAAATTAGGTTGGTGAATCCGACCCAAAAGTTGCTTCAGGAACATAGGGAAAGTATGTCGAGGGAGCCCCTCCCCTAGATAATCCAGGCCCGCATGCACCCAAAGGGCACGAGCCACAGAACAATCTAAGAACAAGTGCTCCATCGACTCCGCAGCCTCCCAGCACACCGGGCACCTGGGATGCACCTGGACTCGTTTCTCAATAAGGGCCTCCGTAGTAGGCAAAATTCGACTAAGGATCTGCCAAACAAATACTTTAAGCTTTGGTGAAATATCCGCATTCCACACCCGAATCCAGGACTCCTTATCCATCCAACCCACCATCGTTCTCCACCCCCCTCTCCTTCTATCAATATCCACAGCTAAATGATAAGCTGATTTCACTGTGAAGACCCCATCCCTCGCACCATGCCAGATTACCTTGTCCCTAACCTCAAGTCTAGGGAGGGGGATAGCTTTAATGGCCTTACAGGTAGGGGGATCAAACCAACGACTCAACTTGTCATCATCCCAACCTCCCCCACCAGGACGCATGACCTCCGCCACCGGGGGATCACCCCCATCCGGCAGGACCCGAGGGTTAAAACAAGGGGGATTATGCTGAAGTCGCGGAATCCAATTCGAATTAAGCAACGACGCAGTCCGCCCATTACCAATCTGCCACCGTAACCCCTGCGCCAGAAGATCCTTACCAAAGAGGATACTTTGCCACCCCCACGACGGGCGGGAACGAGCTTTGGCCTCAAGGAACGACCCATTAGGGAAATATTTACCTTTATAGACCTTTGCCAGCAGGGATTCAGGTTCCATAAGTATACGCCACCCAATCTTAGCCAACAGAGCCTGATTAAATTGCTCAAATCGGCGAAACCCCATTCCCCCCTCATGCTTGCTACGGCAGAGACGACGCCATGACACCCACCTCAGTCGGGAATGATCCTCATCATCCCCCCACCAAAACCGGGCCACATGTCTATCCAGGAGCCGACACAGCGCCAGAGGTAGCTTAAAACAGGACATCACATGTAAAGGCAAGGCGAGAGCAACTGATTTAATCAAGGTTTCCTTCGCCGCCCAAGACAACGTCCTTCTTTTCCATCCCTGAAGACGCTCCAGCAATTTCTCCTCCAAATACCGGAACGTGGCTATCTTGGACCGCGCAATAAGGGTAGGTAGTCCAAGATACTTATCATGAACCCCTACCGCCCCCACCCCTAGTATCGCAGCCAAAAATTCCTGATCAGCACGGACAATATTCTTACTGAAGCATACTGCTGATTTGGCCAAATTCACTTTTTGGCCACTCAATTCCTCATAATCATTCAGGACCTCTATCAAATTCTCACATTCCCTGAGGGTTCCTCGTAAAAATAGATACGAGTCATCAGCAAAAAACAAGTGAGAGATCCGCGGCGCACGAGGAGCCACTTTCACCCCTTCCAACTTTTTATCCGCAATAGCCTTGCGAAGGAGGGCCGCAAAGCCTTCAGTACAAAGCACGAACAAAAGAGGGGAGAGGGGATCCCCTTGCCGAAGTCCCCGGGATGGAGAGAAATACCCAGAGGGAGTCCCATTCATTAGCACAGAAAAAGAGGAAGATTGGAGACACTCCCGAATCCACCCTTGCCAGGTACTGTTGAAACCCATCTTATCCAAAACCGCCAGAAGAAACGGCCACTCGACTCTATCATAGGCCTTTTCCATGTCAACCTTTAGAGCCATGTACCCTTTCTTTCCCCGCGTTTTGATTTTAAGATAATGCATCAACTCATGGCCCAGCAGAACATTCTCAACAATTTGACGTTCACGGATGAACGCATTTTGCCCTTCCGAGACAATTGCAGGCAAGAACCCAGCCAACCGTTCTGCCATAATTTTAGTGATAATTTTATAAACAAACTGGCATAAACTGATAGGACGCAGTTGCCTCATAGATTCAACATTGTCTACCTTGGGGATCAAGGTAAGCCACGTATGGTTAAAGCTGCGGAGCATCCGGCTAGTAGCAAAGAAAGACCGCACAGCCTCAACCACCGTCTCTCCCACAATATCCCAGAAGGCTTTAAAAAACTTCCCAGTGAATCCATCAGACCCAGGAGCCTGCTTCGACCCCATAGCAAACACCGTTTTACGAATCTCAGCAGGAAGGGAAGTTAGGTTTGCGGTAATCATATGTAATGTTAATTTTATCCTTCTACGTCACCATCGACGTGTAATAATCTAAATAAATCCACATCAATGAGGAGCTTCAAATCATTAGATTTGTATTTATATTAAATTGGCTATGTTGATCTATAAACATGTCAAACTCGATTATACGTATTTATTCTGAATTAGTGGAACTGTAATGTGATCGATCTAATTAAACTTATGTTGAGGTGATCAGACTTATAAATTAAGCACAACAAGTTAATGGTTTTGTTCTCACATCATACATAATGGTATAAATCGAAATAGGTGAGTTGAATCGAAATAGGTGAAATGAAACTTGATATATAATATAATACTATTAATACCCGATCGATCTGTTTTCTGAAACGGTGTATAATTGAAGGTAAATTACCACAAGTCATGCCAACAAAACACTTGTGGAATGATGAAGGAAATGATAAACAATCTCAATGGATTGATGAGGACCCGTTTTTTCGAACCAGGAAAGTAACCGGGCAACCAACATTCTGGCCCATATACAATGTGGGTGGGGAGAAACAAAATTTTGGTTCTGTCACCAATTTTCTTCTTGAACTAACTTATTTCTTATTCCATTTTCCAGTGATGAAATAATACAGGCCTTTCTATTAAAAAAAAAAAACAATTGTGAAATTGAATAGGCTGTTAGCTGACTAGCTCATGTATGCATTGTGACTGTGAGACCAAAAAAACTCGGGCATCCCACCGAAGCATCAAAATATTAAGGCTAGCTGCCCGTAACTGGCCCAGTAAAAGCACACATGCACTAGGCCGGAGCAAATAATAATGGGCCTTAACTGGGCCTGAGTCGATCCAGTTGGTGTACGAGGGACTACTGCTTATGCGATGCAACCAAGCTATAAATACAAAGCTACAAAGCATTCGGCTTCTTCAGATCGGCCCTAAAACCCTAATCGTCTTCTCTCCACTCTAGCGGCGGTAAGCTTCGTTCTCCGATCTCCAACCTCCAACCTCCGTCCCGCGATCCTATGCTTCTTCATTTCCTACGTCTGTTTCTATTCAGATTAAGGCCACCTTTGAATTTGTGTTCTGATCGATTTGCTGAAACAGGGTAACCGGAGGAGGAACTAAAATGGCGACAGTTCCAGGGCAATTGATCTGGGAGATCGTGAAGAGGAACAACTGTTTCCTCGTGAAGGAGTTCGGCCGTGGCAACGCCGGCGTTAGGTTCAGCAAGGAAAGCAACAATCTCTACAACCTCAACTCCTACAAGTATTCCGGTAACCAAACACCTTCGTCTTTTTCTGTTTTGGTTCTTTTTTCCCTTATTCTTACAGTAATGCTTGGTTTGTATGGTGGGTTACATGGATTGATTCGTATTTTGGGTGGGATTTAGGCTTGGCAAACAAGAAGACTGTTTCCATTCAGCCAGAAGGCAAGGATTTGGCTGTTGTGCTGACGACCACAAAGACCAAGAGGCAGAACAAGCCTGCCAATTTGAAGCACAAGTCGGTCATGAGGAAGGAGTTCAGCTCCATGGCTAAGGCTGTTACCAATCAGGTATCTAACTCTTTGTTCCAGCATTGTAGCATTTGCGTATTTTCTCAATTCCTTTGTTGAGTTGTTTGATGAGGAATTACATCAGCTTATAATCCGTGAACTTCTCAAGATCGTTAGTTCTTGAGAATCTTAAATTATTCAAGTGCTTGGTTTTCCGACTTTATGAGATTGGATTTGTGATTGGTTCCCCCTTGCAACAGTTTCTCTTTCGTGGGCAGTGATGAGAAGCTAACATGTAAGAAGGACCCTCTTTTGTAGAGGGTTTCTTCTGTGAAATACTTTTGTTACGCTTGGCTTCTGAGTTCTTTGGTGCTTTGATTTCGAAATGTGTATGATTTCACTTTTGTTTGGTTCAAAGTACATAAATTTTCAAAAAGCCTTGTTGTTTTGGGTTGTTCTTGGGCAGTGATGAGAAGTTAACATGTAAGTGGAACCCTCTTGTGTAGAGGGTTCTTCAGTGAAATACTCTTGTTACGCTTGGCTTCTGAGTTATCTTCAGATCAAAATCTTTGTGATTGAGCTTTTGCTTAGTTTTTATTAGTTCAATATTCACAACATGGTTGCTTTTTTATTTTTTGGGCTGTGATGAGAAGCTAACATGTAAGTGGGACCCTCTTGTGTAGAGGGTTCTTCAGTGAAATACTCTTGTTACGCTTGGCTTCTGAGTTCTCTTCAAACCTTAGTTCTCACAATCTGTGTGACTGAGCTCTTGCTCAGTTTTTTGTAGTTGGATTTCCAAAACATCATTGCTTTTATATTTTGTGGGCAGTGATGAGAAGCTAACATGTAAGTGGAACCCTCTTGTGTAGAGGGCCCTCAATGAAATACTCTTGTTACGCTTGGCTTCTGAGTTCGTTTTTTTTTTAATTTAAAACTCAGCCTTCCTGCTTCTAAAGTTACTGTTTATGCTGTATATTATTTTATTAAGATTAAGCACTGTGAAAATGTTGATCATGAATTGTGTCTTGCATTTGTTCTTGTGCTCTATCCCCCTAGATTTTTGGATGAAGCTACTTGTCTTAATGTATATGCCTTCAGTACGTGAAGATAACTTGTAGGATTGAACGTTTGCTTGTTCTCTCTTCAAGAAGTGATGGGAACTGATTGGCTTGTGTTTGCTTGTTGATCTCAGGTTGCAGATAACTTCTACCGGCCGGATCTGAAGAAGGCAGCTCTCTCTAGGCTCAGTACCATCCACAGGAGCCTTAGGGTTTCAAAGTCCGGTGTCAAGAAGAGAACCAGGCAGGCAGCTAAGATCGCTGCCCGGAAGTGAAACTCAATGCTTTAGAGAGTTCTTTTCGTTTTAGTATTATCAAGAGTTTCCAGATTGGACAGATACTAGTTCGCACAATTTGGTTTTTCAGGACCTCTTCGCCCACCTTGTTTGTCGACCCTTGTACTGAATATGGTCGAAGAAAAAAAAACTTGGATTTGTGAGACATGTTATGGCTTTAAATATGCTCTGGTTTCTTGTTTCTAGTGCTTGAATGGGTATGAGATTGCAGTCTTTTGATCCATCACGGTCGAGATGTTACCAATTCCGCAAGCTTGGTAGTGCTTGAATGGGTATATTCCAATATTATGGCCCATATAGTAGATGTAGAGATTCTTAAGTCTTAACCACGTGACTTTCACACGCGCCCCAAAAGTTTTCTTTGCCCGCCGTCACACACAGTCCATACAGTAATGACTAATGACTATTTATTAGCTAAAATTTTTTCAATTCTTTTTTTATTAGTTTTAATTTTTTTTTTTAGATAAGGGTGATATATGTTACTTTTTTTTTGTTATTAGGTACTACTGAAAAGACTCGAACCTGGGACCTCCAGGTTCATGACTAGTGGTATAACCACTAGACCAATCCCTTGTTCGTTAGTTTTAAATTTATTAATATTGACTTGACAATTTTGTTAAATGTTAAATTTCAATAAGCAATTTTGTTAGTAATATTGACTTAACAACATGATACCGACTTGAAAGAGACATTTGAAAGAAACAACTGAAGGTCAACACTCCAAAATTTTAGGATTTTAACTAAAAAAATAGTTACAAAATTATTATAACCTAAAAATTGCTAATAACACTCCAAAATTTTAGGATTTTAACTAAAAAATAGTTACAAAATTATTAACGATAACCTAAAAATTGCTAATATTTTAATGCATTATGAAAGATTTAGCTAATTAATAACATTTTAATAAGTTGGATAATATAAAAAAATCTGACAAAAGTTTGGATAAAAAATAGACATTACCATTTTTTCAAACCATAAGAACATGTTTGATATAAAAAATAGTAGAAGGTCATGGTTGATTAATATGTATAGTATTTTTTATTAATTAAATTCACTACAATGATTTTATTTTGTTTAAAATGTGTAAGTATATCATGCCGGTCATACCAATAATATTATGCAGGTTTCATGGTCGACACAAATTGAACAGGGCTTGCCAGCTATGATATTGACAACCATGGATTATAAAGCCCGTGGTTCTAGGTTTCAAACCCGTATAAAATTTTATGGCCCATTGGCCCATTCACCTAACGGGACTTTCTACACGCGCCCTAATTTCCCACTTTCTTCGCCATCACACACCGACACACGCACTTCATCGTCCACTCTCACAGAGTCGCAGTAACGGCGCCAACCGCAAGGCGCCAACGACGGAGAACTAGAATATATAAACCCTTCAATAACCCGGCACTTGCACAGTATACTTTTCCCGCCTCTCACTCCCCAACATTTCCCGCCCTCTGCAAACCCTAATCCCCGATTCCCATGGCGCAGAAGCACCAATCCACCGCCGATCCAGCCCCGGCCGAGCCCAAGAAACGAAGACGCGTCGGCTTCGCCAAACCCGGTGAGTTAATTTGCTCGTTGGCTTCACTTCGTCACAGTTTACTCTCCATTTCCAGAAGCCGCCTTCAGCTCGTTATTTTACTTTACTTGCCTCCGATTTAGAGATTGGCTTTAGTCTCTGCCCGCAACTGTGCTCTCCAGCTCACTGATGCTACTCTCTTTCTCTATGCTGTGTTTGGTCCCCGTGTTGTTCAGATGGCGGTGTTGAGGCCAACGAATGTATTACGATTTACTTGGGTAAGAACCCTTCCTGTCCATTTCCTATTCGGTGCTTGTCGATTTCTCTCGGGTTTTATATCTACAATTCCTGTTTGTTGTGTTTTATGTGTACAAGAAAGCAAGAAATCAGTATGCGGTTCTCACTGCTCTTGAGGACAATTAGTGTCTTGGTTGAGCTTAACTATGGGCGCTTTGAGTTCTAAGTTTGTTGTGTTTTGCACCTGCTGATATCGTATCCTTAATGCCGAATTCTTGAAGTTTCAGATAGTTATGCCTGACATGTTTGTGTTATTACAGTCTCCAGCAAGGACGAGGTGGGTGCTTCTGATGCTGCTCGCATTACACCAATTGACTTGAACAGTTTTTTTGAGGAGGACGGGAAGATATATGGATACCAAGGATTGTCGGTAATGCTTCTCTTGCAAAACTAATGGACCCGCTTCTTCTTTATGTTAACAAAGAGTTCACATTCTCAATGTATCACTATTGATGCTCTGATTGCTTAGACTGTAAGACGTTTCTTTTGCATTATGTATCATGCAGATTACTATCTGGGTTAGCAGCATATCATTTCAAGCATATGCTGATATTTCCTACAAGAGCACATCTGATGTGAGTGTGTTGTTCTAAATACCTGATTTATCCACTGTGGCTTTTGATTCGTTTTGCTGATTCCATTTTGCTTACTGTTTAGGGAGGGAAAGGTGTCACTGATCTTAAATCTGCTCTTCAGGTTTGTTACCTAGAATATTTTCACCTTTTGTTTAACCCTATTCTATTGGGTCTCTGATTGACAATTTGTTGAACAGAACATTTTTGGTGAGACCCTACTTGACAGTAAAGACGACTTCCTTCAGACTTTTTCATCAGATGGTAATTACATCAGGTATATTCTTTGTGATTATCAGGTAGTCTGGAGTGTGGTTGGGGTGTAATTGTTTGCGTTTATGTTCCCACTATTAGGTCTCTTATGTCAGTTTTATATGTTCAGATCCATTATCTCAAGTGGAGAAGTGTTGCAACATCCTCTGACCAACGGGCATGATGGTGCTTCTACTCTTTCTGGAAAAGCTACTTCAGACCTAGAGGTATTCTGCATATATTTAATGGCGTAGCTCATGCAAATCATAAGTTGCTTCTGCAGTCTTTGTTAGTCTAGTGATAAGATCAACAACAATTGAGTTACATGCCTTGACATTCACCACATGGTGTAAGTATTGCAAGATAGTGCTTTCCTGGATTTTACCAATCCCTATGATGATAGGTTGGCTTCAAGAACACCAAATCAAATCGGTAGACCATACATTAATTGAAAACAAACAGCATGGAGTTTATGGTGCTCTGTGGTATCAGCCCTTTGTTTTCAATCTTGGTTCGAAATCATTTCTTCCATTAGGTATCTAGCCAAATATTTCCTGGGAGATCCATTGCGGGACACCGAAACTTGTCAGGCCTGATTTCCCAAATTTCTGTTGCTTGTGTTTGGCTAGCTTCAAGATGAAGTGTCAACCTCAAGTTTAGTCAACGCTGGGGGTCTTCACCTGGCAGCTTGAGTTCACTATCGGACAGTCACCTCTATCTTAATTCTAGTCCCAACAATGCAATACAGTGCTTTCTGTCAAAACAGACGTCTATATCATAATTTAATCGGCATTCATGACGTGGAATGTATTTTTATAACTAATTGCCAATATGACTCTTAGTTGTCTGACTCTTGGATGAGCTTGGTTATCATAGCATTGATGTGCACTGATACTTGTCACCCAGATTTTAATGTCTCATCATTCTAGCTATATATCTTACATGTAACTAGACCAATGCTCTGATGATTAAGCTCTTCGAAGTGTTATGTAAAAGTTATCACTGCATTTAAATGAAGGCCTCTTAAGGATTTTAGGAATCAAGTTAAAGCTTAGTAATTTGCGCTCAGAACCCTTTGCTTAATTTGTCTATTTTGAAAGTTAGCAGCAGTTATCCTTTTCTGGCTCCTGCTCGGAAGTGAATGGTGTATGTCTCAAGGTAGAGTTAATTGATGAACTAAATGTGATTTTCCTCCTAAATGGAATTGTTACTATGTCAGGTTGTTCGGATGGTAATGGACAATCCAGATGCTGGCAGTCTCTACAGTCGTTTGGTTCCTCTTGTTCTTCTACTTGTCGATGGTAATTTATCTTTCCTGTTGTTTGTTAAGCAGTATTTAGCTCTTGGCTATCCGTGGAGATCAAAGATGTTGAACTGGTTATTATGTCTCGTGTGCAGGTAGTAATCCAATTGACGTTACTGACTCAGGATGGGAGTTGTATGTGCTAACACAAAAGAAGGATCTTGAACATGAAGATGTTCAGTCTAGACTTCTGGGGTTTTCTGCCATTTATCGCTTCTATCACTACCCTGACAGCACTCGCCTCCGCCTGGGTCAGGTGAACTTTTTTTTTACCATTTTGAAATTTGATTTGTTTGGTGGAGAACATATGAAAGGGTTTCATAGTGTCATCATTCTGCCTATCTTTTCATTTATCAATCAACCCACTTGATATTCATTCGACCAAACCCATTTGATCCGAATTCATTGGGTAAACTTTCATATCTGCAAAAACCCGCCAGCTCCTTCAATACTAACCCATTTGCAACCTCTGCTTCTAAGTTTTTTGACTTGGACAAAGGGGTATTTGCTTTGACCATGGAACTTGACTAGATATTTGGTTGTTGCAGATCTTGGTGCTGCCTCCTTATCAAAGCAAAGGCCATGGTCGACATTTACTTGAGGTGATTCACAATGTCGCTATATCTGAAGATGTCTATGACTTCACTGTGGAAGAGCCACTAGATGCTTTCCAGCACGTCCGTACATGCCTCGACGTTCAAAGGCTGCTTGGTTTTGAACCAATAAAGGAAGCTCTCAACTCTACCGTTTTATATCTGAAACAAGGAAGGCTGTCGAAGAAAACTCACGTTCCTAGATTTGTCCCTCCTTCAAGTGCAGCTGAGGATGTCAGAAGGGTGCTGAAAATCAACAAGACGCAGCTAACTCAGTGTTGGGAGATACTGATTTATCTTAGCCTTGATCCAATTGACAAGTATGTGGATGATTTTGAGATGATTGTTTCGCACCGGGCGAAGGAAGAGATCTTAGGCAAAGATGGTGGGAGTGGCGGGAAGCAAGTGATTGAGGTCCCTAGTGAGTACAAGGAAGACATGTCATTTGTGATGTTCAAGACCAAGGATGGGAAACCAAGTTCGGTTGAGTTGGATGAAGATCAAACCAAGCAACAGGAGGAGCAATTGAAGCAACTGGTCGATGAAAGGCTCAATGTGATCAAATCTGTTGCCCAGAAGGTTCAACTGCAGGTCTGATCCAACTCATCAAAACAAACAACACCATATGGATTTAGGAATTAGATCAAGTTGTGAGGATGAACTGAGGCTTTTGGTCATTCAGATATTGGGCATAAAACTTGCTATTTGATTCTGTTATTGTTGTAGGTAGAAGGTTTGAGCAATTACAACAGTTCTAACTCATTGCCAAATGTCTGTTATAAAATCATCTTTGTGATGAAAAAGCTTAAATCTTGTGAACGCTGCAACCGGCATCCTCTGAGTTCAAATTCTCCTTCCAGTTCTCGAATTCTGACCCCCCAAAAACTAGTTGCTTGATTCCAACGTAACTGTCAAACGAGAAAACCCAGTATGCTTAAGATATCCATGTGTTGGACTGAAAATGGAAAGAAGCAACAGCAGTTAGCTTACTCGGAGCTGATCTGGGTCAATCCATTTATCAACACGTCCAGCAGTAATGGCTCGCTAGTCCCAATATCCACCCTGTTTTACAACAATGAGCAACATTCATCATTCGTCGTTCATTCAAGCAACAACAGAATTCGGTTTTTTATTTATTTATTCCAGGTCTCCAATCTTACCATATCCGTCCCAAGTTATCTTGCATCTCGAAATCCCCTATGTTATAAAAGGTGGTCGGAGTCACATTTGCTCCCTGGATGTAGTCATAGGTTGGCCTCTTATCAGAGGTCGATTGTGACAGCTGCGAAGAACCAGAAACCGCTCTGAGTCTATGTTGCCATCAGACTGAACCATGGCCTTATCAACAAGCATACCTGCATATTCATGGAGTTGCAACCACCAAGACGTCCGATGATGTGCCATGACCGAATCGTCTGCCAAGAGTTCAAATCAAGTAATCAGACTCAACCATTGTGCCCCTCGTTCTATCATTTGCTATCTCAAGCATTAGAGAGGAGGAAGCTAGCAACTTACATCACAGATTAAGGATACATCTTTCTCCAAGGGAGCATTATAGAACTCAAACCAAATGTACGAGTTTGAGAATTCAAATCTGGTGAATGGCAACCCATTAGACCAAGTTAGATACAAGAGCTACTAGCCAGCAAGTCAAAATTTTCATGCCAGCCATTCAGCTGAGAGCTAGTAATGGAGCTTAACCTGTTGAAGGTGACTTTCATGGGCGTTGAAGAACCAGTCTTAGGGTGCAGAATCTTGTTCCTTTTCCTCCTCAACCTCTCTTCCATCTGACATAAACCCAGCAAATCATCGTCACATTAGTAAGAAAAACAACAAAACTCCATCATAATCAGGAATCATTTCGTCAAAGATTTTTTTACTCGTGACTGAGCCTTTTCAGGATCAACGAGACAGCTCCCCATAATCTCAGCAAGCTCAGGGTCTCTGTCATAACCCTTGTCGTCGTCTCCCCTCCCGCTACTAAATAAGTCTGCATCAGGGAATTCATCGCCGCCGCCATAACCGTCAACCTCCACCTCCACATCTGTCAGCGGCGTATCTTCGCTCATTTTCAACGTCTGTTTAGCGACGAAGAGTTTAGTCACGGTGGTGGGTCGAGCATGGTTCCTCGTGGTAAGCGTTACAGTGGTGAATGGCGGGAAGGAAGTGGTTGGAGTGGAGAATTGGGGGAGCAAGGAAGAAGAAGAAGAAGATTGGAGTAGGGTATCCATTTCAGCAGTCCGGCTGTGGTGCTGGTGGGAACTGGGAAGGAGTCGTGAATAGAAAAGAGGAGATTGGCTTTGAACTCCCAACTTCCGTGAAACGACGGCGTTCGGAACCGGTCCGGCCATTATTCGCATATCCATTTTTTTTAGCAAGATTGGTGAAAAAGGTTGACCGAGCGAAGGGGGATTAGAAAAAGGTTGACCGACGCCATTTCCATAATCGGGAACTTCTGATTTTGTTTTTCTTGAGCGAGGATCTAAACGAACCAACGAACTTTTCCCCCTCTCGCCGCTTCCAATCAGGCGGAGAAACGCGAATAGACAGATGGATTTGTTTCCGGCGGAGACGTCGCAGTTGCCGAAGAAGCACAGATTCCGTTCGCTGAAGCTCGTCAACGTCGACATGGACCAAATCCTGGAGGAAAACCCCTACGGTGCCGACTATGGCCGCCTCGACAATGGCCTCTTCTACTACGTTCGCCGCAACTCCAAGCCGAAAATGCGCGCTGCTCTGGCGCTCGCCGTCAAGGCCGGGTAAGCAATCAACTGCCCTGCCTTCCTCCTTTTTCTTTCCCTCGCATGCCGAGCAGTTTTCTATTTCACTGCTTCGGTGGAGCTGATTGGTTGTCTCCATTGGCAGCTCAGTTTTGGAAGAGGAAGAGGAGAGGGGAGTGGCTCACATAGTGGAACACCTGGCTTTCAGCGCTACTAAGAACTACACGAATCACGATATCGTGAAGTTTCTGGAAAGCATTGGAGCTGAGTTCGGTGCTTGTCAAAATGCGGTCACGTCGGCGGACGAGACCGTCTACGAGCTGCTTGTGCCCGTGGATAAGCCTGAGTTGTTGTCGCGAGCTATCTCGGTATTGGCCGAGTTCAGCACTGAGGTAGGCGTGAATGGAATTTTCGCCGTTGTTTTAATGTTGAATTTCTGTTCACGTGAAATCAAAGTGAGTGTTCTACAGATTAGGGTTTCGAAGGAGGACTTGGAGAAGGAGAGAGGAGCGGTGATGGAGGAGTACAGAGGGAGCAGGAATGCTAGTGGAAGAATGCAGGATGCACATTGGATGCTGATGATGGAAGGCTCAAAGGTGCTATTGCTGTTAGGTTTCAAGTGCTTTTGATTTCTAGTCGTGGTGTTTGCCAATTTTACAACTCTGGTTTCTGAATTAAGTCGTGGAATTATTCTAGAAAGCTTGGTTGATACAGATTTGGAGGCTCTATTGTTTTCTGAATTCTGCATAATAGTTGGAGGAAGGAATACTGTCTGTGCGTGTTGAATAGTTGGAGGAAGCTTGTGTCCTACTTTAGTTGTTTGGTGTGTTAACCTTTGATTAACTCGCAGTATGCTGAGAGATTGCCAATTGGGTTAGAGAAGGTGATTCGATCAGCTTCCCCTGATACCGTACGGGAATTTTACACAAAGTGGTACCATCTGCAAAATATGGCTGTTGTTGCTGTCGGGGACTTTTCTGATACCAAGGTTTGAACTGATAGATTCATTGAGGTCATCATATCATATATTTTGCACAATTTCTTTGATAAAGCTCTCTTTTTATCTCTGTAGAGTGTTGTGGAGTTGATAAAGACACATTTTGGCCCAAAGTTTTCACGGTCTGAGCCTCCAGAGTTACCAATATTTGAAGTCCCATCCCACGAGGAGCCACGATTCTCATGTTTTGTTGAATCAGAGTCAGCTGGGGTTAGTGTAATTTATTCTTGAATTATAAACAGACCTAGATGGAACAATTTGTTATTGCAACATCAGTGACTTTTCAGTTTTCACTCTCAATAGTCTGCAGTGATGATTAGCTATAAGATGCCAGTTGATGAACTGAAGACGGTGAAGGACTACAGGGATATGCTCACAGAGTACATGTTTCTCTATGCTCTAAACCAGAGATTCTTTAAATTGTCTCGTAGAAACGATCCACCCTATTTCTCATGCTCAGCCGCCGCAGATGCACTAGTTTGTCCATTGAAGACTTGTATAATGACTTCTGCTTGCAAGGAGAAAGGCACATTGGATGCCCTAGAATCAATGCTACTTGAGGTGCAATCTGTTGCTCTATGACTTGTTTGGCTAGTAACGCTTTTCTTTTTCACTTGACCAACACATAATATGTTTTAGGTTGCCCGGGTCCGTTTACATGGATTTTCAGAACGTGAAATTTGTATTGTTAGAGCTTTAATGATGGCAGAGATCGAATCTGCCTATCTGGAGCGTGATCAGATGCAATCAACCAACTTGAGAGACGAGTATTTGCAAGTATGAACCTAACTTTTTCTTCGACTTATCCTGAGTGTGCATTTCCTGGCTTTTCTGGGATAAACATCTTTTTTTACAACATTTGCAGCATTTTCTTCGAGGTGAGCCAGTTGTTGGGATTGAATATGAAGCTCAACTTCAGAAAACCATCCTTCCTCGTGAGTCCCTCACTGCATCCTGAATCTACTTTTCAAGAAAATGAACTCTTACACGTACCCATAGAAAAAGGATTGTGGCATATTCTGTCATTTCTGATCTTGGTCTGAATTTCTGCAGAGATATCAGCAGTTGAAGTGTCAAATTATGCAGAGAAGTTACAGACATCTTGCAGTTGTGTCATAAAGACAGTAGAACCCTGGGCTTCTGCAACAGTTGATGACCTGAAAAGTGTCGTACGAAAAATCAATAAGCTTGAGCTAGAACAACACATAACTCCTTGGAATGAAGAGAATATTCCTGAAGAAATTGTCAGTGTGAAGCCAACTCCTGGGTAGGTCGATTTTATTTCATTCTTATATGTATCCATGATCCATGAAAGGATTTTTCTTGCCTAGAATCGGTTACTCCTATGTGAATTATGATACTACTATTTCCATGCTATTCATTTGAACGATATCTAAAAAGTTACTCATTTGAATACATGTTTTCTTGTGTGTCAATCCTTATAAACAGGCAAGTCATTAATCAGTTTGAGTACTCAAATATTGGAGCTACGGAGCTCGTACTGTCCAATGGGATGCGAGTTTGCTACAAGTGTACAGATTTCCTTGATGACCAGGTAGAAGTCATATCAATCCGGATTATAATTCTGGTTATTGTCAATTAGGAGTATAGTTTTCTTTATTGTAAGATGGAGCTATGCTATTCTGTATCCAGTATGATGTGTATCGTCGATTAGGATTATAATTTTAGTTATTGTGAGAATGCAGTTATTGTCGACTAGGATTATAATTTTTTTATTGGTTGCTGCTACATATACGTCTCCCTACACATAGCTCATTGACATCAGATGTTCAACTTGTCCACAACCATTGATACAGTTATGTCTTTCCAAATTAGTGTACTAGTAGTTTTAGTTGGTGAACACCTTGTGTTATCTTCAACAACAAAACTGCCCTGTGTTTCATAATGATTCACAGGTGATTCAAGGACAACACATGTAGAATTTTGGCTGGTTATAGGAATAAAAGGTACTGATTAACAAGAACATCAAAACTCTAGTCTGGCTGCCCAAAATAAAATCAAAACATGAGCCTCAAAGCTTACAAGTCCTGGTAGTTGTAACTGGCTACATTATAAGTAATGAGCTAGTTAATTTGGGAATCTCTTATCAGATTATCCTTTAATATTACTAGAATAACAAAGGTTTATGCAACTAATACCTACCTTGAGCATGCTTCCTTGACACATTGGATGTAACTGGCAGAATGAACTTATCTGTTGTAAGTCATTTTATCTCATCAAGATGAACTGTAATTTCAGGCCTCTTCAGCTAGTACCTTTTTTTTACTTGCCATTGTTGTGGATACGAAACTTGACAATGATTTGAGTATACCTTTATCAATAATAGTACACATCTGATGTGGTAAAAATAATTCGTATCTGTGTTTTTTTTTTTCAACAGATTCTTTTTACAGGGTTCTCATATGGAGGCCTCTCTGAAATTCCCGAAAGTGATTACTTTTCATGTTCAATGGGATCAACCATTGCTGGTGAAATCGGCGTGTTTGGTTACAGACCTCCAATGTTAATGGATATGCTTGCTGGTAAGAGAGTTGAAGTGAGTACAAAGCTTGGAGCATACATGAGAAGTTTCTCGGGTGATTGTTCTCCTGCAGATTTGGAAACTGCTCTGCAGGTTTGTTTCTTAGATATTACTTGTTGCCTTTCATCTTTTCTTCAATTTCTACTTTTGCTTGTGTTTGTTGCCCTAGAAGCAACGCTACATTACCTTCCTACAGAATGATGAGGAAGTGGGTGATTCTTTTGTTTCAATTGGATCATCTTCTTTTATTATTAGTTCATTTTAAGGGTTGTTGACACCTATTCCTATTTTGTTATATGGAATTGCACTTAAAGTTTTTCTTCATTTCTAATGTCCTTACGTAGTTACGTTATTTATACTATAACAGCTTGTCTATCAACTATTTATGACAACATTAACACCGGGAGAAGAAGATGTTAAAATTGTCATGCAAATGGCAGAGGAAGCTGTTCGTGCTCAGGAGAGGGATCCATATACCGCATTTTCAGATCGAGTGAAAGAGATTAACTATGGCAACTCCTACTTTTTCAGAGTATGCCTGATTTCATTCTCTTAACCTATTGTTCAATCCAGTGTAAGACATGTCGCTCTTACTTACAAGAGTTGCTTTGTTTGTGGTTCTGCAGCCCATAAAGTTAGGTGAACTACAAAAAGTTGATCCACTGAAAGCTTGTGAATATTTTAACAAGTGTTTCAAGGATCCCTCGTCTTTCACTGTTGCAATTGTTGGGAATCTTGACCCTTCTGTTGCAGTTCCTCTGATTTTGCAGTATCTGGTGAGTATCTAACACTGCATGACTGAGTAAGTGCTTATAAACGAGAAAAGATAGATTTCACTGTCTCTGTTTCTCAAGCTTTCGACACATGCATAAAAGCTCTTGGTTGCGTAACTTGGGGAAAGATCTTGCCCTAGTTAACAGACTTGAATATCTCCGACATGTCTGATTTTTTTTTTATTTTTATAATCACATGTCTGAATTTTGAAGTTCTAATGTCCCACTACAATTTATTTCAATGGTTATATCATACGGATGAGGAAAATCTTTCCCTCTTGAGTACTCATGATTAAGTTTTCTTCATTTCCTTAATCTAGGGTGGTATACCAATGCCTCCACAACCAATGCTCCACTATAGCAGGGATGACCTCAAAGGCTTGCCTTTCACATTTCCAACTAGCATAATCAGGTAGGTTTTTCCCTTTTACCCTTTCTCTTTGAATAGTAGCAGTATTGTAAATCCGCTGTAAGTGAAACATTACCAATATTGTAACTTGAAAGTAATTCTTTATTTTCTAGGGCAAATAGTGAAGTTATTAGTCCTCCACTTGATCAGCATATCTGATTGCCAGGCACATTCTTTTCACCGTGTGCTTTTTTATTCACTGCACACATTTTGCTTTTCATACTGACCTTTTAACATATTTTTTGGTATTTAATTCTAAGGACATTTATTTTCCGCAGCCTTTAAATGTTATTTGGGATTTAAATGTGATTGTAATATATTTGATATTGTTGCAGGGAAGTGGTTCGGAGCCCCATGGTGGAAGCACAATGCTCTGTTCAGTTGAGCTTTCCTGTGGTGCTGAAGAATGGATCCTTGGTTAGCAACTCTCCATCATTCTAAATCCTCTAGAGCCCAGAAGATCCATTGCCTTGACATTGATGGTTTTTCTATCACTAACCTATTTGGGAAACTGTCTGTTAGGTAGAAGAGGTACACTCTGTTGGCTTCTTGAGTAAGCTTCTCGAAACAAAAATTTTGCAGGTTCTTCGTTTCAAGCACGGCCAGGTGAGTGTCTTGTTATGTCTTTAAAATTTTTGTTTGCTGAGCAACGGTCTTATGTTCTATGAACTCTGTAACGCAGATATATTCTGCTGGTGTCTCGGTGTTCCTTGGTGGTAATAGACCTTCAAGAACCAGCGATATACGTGGTGACATCAGCATCAATTTTTCTTGTGATCCGGGAAGCTCCTCAAAGTTGGTAGGTTGCATGCCGTGGCTCTCATTTTGCATTTTTCTAGTTTTCCAGTTGAATTGCTGTCGAGTGTTTCCGTGGTTTTCTTTCTTATCAGGTGGATCTTGCTTTGGATGAAATACTGCGCCTTCAAGAAGAAGGGCCCTTGGATGAAGATGTTTCGACAGTACTTGAGCTTGAGCAGAGGGCACATGAAAATGGATTGCAGGTTAAGTATCGTAATGACTAATTTATATTTATGAAAATTGCTTAGGGACGAAAATTGGGAGGTGATTGCAGTATTCCTACAAATCGTTAAACCAGAAGTAGCAAAAACATTTCAAGTTCCCTATCCTTTGTTTCAAGTAGTAGTACATGAATATTAGAGGCTTGCAGATTGAACCTCACAACTGCGGAAAACCAAGTTTTATCATCTGATATTTTGAAATCATTTTTTTAGGAGAACTACTATTGGCTGGAACGAATTTTACGTAGCTACCAGTCAAGGATATATACTGGTGACATTGGTGCTTCTTTTGAGGTGGGTTATTATGGTTTAACTTCATGCATCTATCGTTTCCACACATTTCACCTTCCAATGGATTCCATTTCTTCCTTTGAAAAACACACTCATTTCTCTCTCGGTCAGGCTCTTCTAGTTTGGTGACGGAAATGTTAATTTAACCTGTTCCAGATTCAAGATGAAGGTCGTTGTAAAGTCCGAGAACTACTCGCGCCTTCATCAGCACGATCAACACTGCAGAGGATTTTGCCCTACCCTTGCAAGAAGCAGTATACAGCAGTGATTCTGATGCCCCAGACATCTCGGTTTCAGTTGTTGAGGTCCTTATTCCGGTCTACCACTCGTCCCAGTTATTCCAGAGACGCCAAGGTAAAAATAGCGGACTCTGTTACTGTCATCTGCAATCGCTCCGCAATTAAGAACACTCATTCAGTTGTCTCCCCAACAGTGTTGTCACGCCGGCCGGCGTGCCACTGGTTGAACCTGGTTCAACCTGTACCGGTCATAAAACCGGTATGACACCACCGGTATGACCGGCATGATCGATATACGAATCACCAAGTAAAATGATTTTATCTTCGTGAATTTAATTGATAAAAAGTAATTTATTATTTATTTTATGTGTTAAAAAGTTAAATGTTGATGTTATTTGTTGGATTCAAGTACAAATATTTAGGTATTGACGTTAAATGTCATGTTTAAATATGAGTATTTGTAAATTATTTGTAATATTAACCGGCATGAACCGGCACAAACCGGTATGTACCACCGGTCGAACCATTTCACTTGCTAAACCGGCACACTGGCACAAACCGGTTTGACAACCTTGCTCCCCAACCATATCTTTTCGAGGCACATAAGGCGTTCTTATCTAATACATCGAAGTTGTCTTCCTCTCATTTTTGGTTGCAGATCATAGCCACCATTGCTGGTCTGACTGTATTAGGTGTGAGTTTCTGGAGATATTCGAGGAGCACCTTGAGATCTTAAAACACATCTGTTTTTCTTTCTACACTTCAGATGATTGATAAATACAGATTAGTAGTAGCTAATCTTGCTAAGGGAATTATAACTCTGGAAGAGGCAAGTAAGACAAGGCGGATATAATACTCAAATCATCAACTGGTGAGCGAAGTAGGAAGAGAAGCAGCTGGCGGTATTCATCATTTTGTATATACATTTTGGTTGTGTACCGCCGTAGCATAATTACCTGGTTCAACTCTTCGATTCTCCATGTTACCTTCCCTTGTATTACTGCTCTATAACAAACCTAGTTATTGTTTTCATTAGGCCGTCTGAGTTGGTGCATCTATGTTGTTAATCAGCTTCGGCTTCGCACTCTTGAGTGAAACTATCAATGTTTGCTAGACCTCGCCTCCAATCGTTCGTAGCTGAACGACTTCTTTTGTATTCTCGATAAGAAAATTATATTTATACAGACTACCGATAATGCAATGTCAGACTATTATCACGGTTTTAACTAGTCACAATGCCACATTAGATTATCAGAAGATTTCAATAGAGATAGTCCTGCAAACTAATGGTGCCATAGTGTTTGGTCATCTGCTATCTGAACTCTGGTCGAATTGGAGACACCTAAAGACGGGACAGATTGAGAATACCCTATTTGATTCATGTTCACCATAGTTGTCGGATTAGTTTGCTGGCCAACCCTTTGCTTTGCCTATATCCTTCGGGAGGGCGCCCGAAATGGGCCCGAATATCAACCCAGGCCCGTTCAAATGTTCATAACTTGAGAGTCCATTGGGCCAATCGAGATCCGCAACGGGAGGGGGGCAAGCACGTCTTTTCAGCTCCACAGGCCACTAGGGTTTTGAGCTCCTTTTAGGTTGTGTTATAAACCTAACTCGACAGTCTGACCGCAGTTTCGCTTCCTTCCGCGCTGCCTTCTTCCAATCTCTCTGCATCCTTCGACTGGTAAATTCTCGCATTCCGTCTTGCTTTCTCGATTTCCCCTTTCTCTCGCATGTCTGCGCAGCTATAGGTTCTTGCATAGCTTTTCATGGGCTTTTTGTTGTTTGTTTTCCCCCCCTTTTTGACGTGACGGCTGGATGGATATGGTTGCAGACCGAGAGAGAGATCCAAGATGGTTGAGAAGACGAGGATCAGGAAAGAGGAGGTGGTGACTCGTGAGTTCACCATCAATTTGCACAAGCGCTTGCACGGCTGGTGAGTTCCACACTCTTGTTCCCTGCAGCTTTCATTTTCGTGGGTCTGTGAAGGTTTTCGGATTTGTGGCTTTCTTCAGCGGGAGGGCTATCTTAACAGTAGTTTTTTATTAGAATCTATGTATATGCTGTTTTAGATCAGGGATATAATTCAGGACCCTATTAATTGGGTTTAAGTTTAATTTTAAGCTGCATCATAGTATTCATGCTTCAATCGCGATCTGGTGGTTAGTTGGATTGTCGAAATCCTATTATTCAAGTTTCATTGGTGAATATGGTGGGGGTTGTGGTCTTTATGTTGTGGTCATAGATGTACTTTTCTGGGATGATGAAATGTTAGCTTGAAGAGCTGTGATTCAATGTGAACATGGGACTGAAAGCGGGGAATACGCAGATGAAAGCGAATTCTTGAACCTTGATTATCACTGATCTATACTACTTGTCAAATTTTCTAAAACGTACTTGGAGTGTTTGCTTGTTGTGGTCTATGTCTGATTAGACTATCAGAGTAAGCTTGAAGTGATGAATAGCTGAATGTGCCTTTTGCCATATCAATATCTTAGGCTATAGTTAAGATTTGTGGTTGGCCTATGTGCATGAGCAACAAAGATAATTTTGTGCAAGACATTGTTGCTTGATAATGGATCATCCATAGTTTATCCCTTTATCAGGTAGCCTCTTGTTCCCTTGTTTCTGAGGTGTACTATGTTAGTTTAAGTCCAATCTGTTATGGCTAGTTGGCTACGGTAAACCTATGAGTTGAGTTTTCTGTGACATGTTCCGATTGTATTCGGGGTTTTCTTATATAGTTTACCCTTTTCAATTTGACTTCCTTTGTGGGTCTCATCTATCCTCTTTTGGATGCTGAACTCTCGAAATTTCTATGTGCCAGCACCTTCAAGAAGAAAGCTCCCAAGGCCATCAAGGAGATCAGGAAGTTTGCCGAGAAAGCCATGGGAACTAAAGACGTGAGGGTGGACGTGAAGCTGAACAAGCAAATCTGGAGCAAGGGAATTAGGAGCGTTCCAAGAAGAATCAGGGTTCGCATTGCTCGGAAGAGGAATGATGATGAAGATGCCAAGGAGGAGCTCTATTCCCTTGTCACTGTTGCAGAGATCCCAGCAGAAGGACTCAAGGGGCTGGGAACAAAGGTTATAGAGGAGGATGAGTAATCCGTGTCACTCCGTATCTCTATCAGGCTGTTGTGCTAGTTTTTTTAAAAAGTTTTGTCCATGTTTACGGATTTGGAGAACAAGCCTAGGCTTTTGTTGGTACAAGTTGGATATTGTCAGACCATATTTACCATTTGAAAGCAGTGAACCTAATCAAATTTTCTATTGCGTTTTTATTACCTAATGGCCATTGCGTTCGTACGAAGTCTGCCGCAAATGTCCATTAAGTTAATGATTTAGTTGAAATCCTGGGTTTACTGGAAATGTTATCATCGTGTTAATGGCATAGTTAGCGTTGATTTTTTTTTTTCCACTGCACTCTGAATTCCCAGTAACATATAAAAAAAAAACGGGTAAATGACACATTTGGTCACTGAGATTACTAAATTGTGTCATGTTTAGTCACTAGAAAAAATTAATATCAATTTTGGTCACTCGAATTACCGAAACTGGTCAAATTTAGTCACTCTCCCGTCAGTTTCTGTCCAACTCCATTAATGTAGTTGGACGGAGACTTTTGGGAGAGTGACTAAATGTGACATGTTTCAGTAATACGACTGACTAAATGTGACATTTTTCAATAATTCGAGTGACCGGAGTTGGACAGAGGCTACAGAAGAGTGACCAAATGTGACCTGTGTCAGTAATTCGAGTGACCAAAATTGATATTAAATTTTTCTAGTGACTAAATATGACACGATTTAGTAATCTCAGTGACCAAATGTGTCATTTACCCAAAAAAAAACGCTGATAATAATATACATCACGATTAAGCAATCTTGTAAATTCACTGCTACAATATCAAGCAAAGAGACACCCCGTCAACATAAACTTGACGAGCTCTTAAGGTGATTCCATCATTCATTCTGAGTGGAGTAACATAACGACTTGCTTCTTCCTCGTCGCAACTGGCAGAGCACTATTGCAACTCCCTCGACTGATAGGAACTGACTACAGAGGAGCTAGTTGGCCACGAAGTGGTAGTGCTAGTGATGGAGCTTAGCAGAGCTTTGAAACTAAGTCGCTTTGTAGGAATACATGTAGCTTCTGAGTTTCTTCACCTCTTCTGATGATTCGGCGAGTAGATGATCAACGTAAAGGCAAACAGAAGATCCGCTGCAATTTTTGTCAGGCAAAGTACAAGTCTCATTAAGATTAAACCTACATCATCTACATGTAATCTTAATGAAAATTCAGACCAAAATCTAATCATGCGAGTAGACTGTAGAGTATTACTCACCAAAGAGGTCCTAGAGGAAGCCATATCACATCCATCCTGAATCTCGGCAGCCTATAATTCAAAGTCAAAAACACCAGTCCTTAACTTCCTTCCACTGAATCTTTCAGGGAGTCATAAACCAGCAAACCATCAAACAAAGGTGATTATACGCAAACTCCTCGTTACCTTAACATAAAATAGAACCAAAATACAGCGACCGCAAACCCAGCAAAGCAGGAGTACCAAATCCATTTTCTTCTACGGTTCAGTATCCCAACGATGGCCAGGGAGCATACCAGAACAGCTAACCAGTCTGTGTTGAATTGCTTAAAAGGTTAGCAAAACACAACAAATGCGCGATTTCCACTGGATTAGAACTCACAACAAATAGCAAATCTGAAGGCGAACGTTATGAATATCAAAGTTCCCAACTTTACAAACTGCCAAAGTTAATCCAACAGCTATGACATATATGCTTGCAGAGGTCAGTCACTCATACATTATCATGCACAGTAAGAAGAACCCAGAAAGCAGCAAAATGCTGCAAAGCAATAGCTAGAGAAGTGATTCCATTACCATATTTGTTAAAAGAATGGAGGATAGAAGAAATGAAGTGAACCATAGTACCATACCTGCTGAAATCACCATCCATGAAGGGATATCTTCCATGAAGTATGCGTGATACCGCTGATAAAAAAAAAAGACAAGACTGGATCAATCTTAACACGATTCAATTGGATTTCCAGTGAAGCTGCTACCTAATCAATTAGGGATAACGCACCAATTCCCAGGGGGAAGTTGCTTGCTGGTAGATTGAGTAGACTAGGAAGATAGCGTAGCAAACGAGGATCGCAGAGAACACTCTCTTCAATCGGGTGAAAGAATCGTCAAAAGGGAAGAGGAAACCAAATCATCGATCAACCCATTTACCATAATGTTCAGAAATAGGAAGCGAAATCTTAAAAAGGGGAGGAGATGTGCTATGAAATGTTACCGTCCATAACTGAGCTTGCTGAGCTTGCGCGTGTTCGAGGGATCGAACCAGCTCCTCTTGCTCTGCGCGGAAACAGAGACAAAGAGCGATTGAGCAACAGCAAGAGAATGAGAATGAGAGGAAGACAGAGAGAGACGGGTCGCCATAGGTTTGGTAAAAAATTTACCTTGGGGATCCATGGGACGAGATTCGTCCGGATCATCCTGAGTCGGGAGAGATAAATCGTCGTCTCGAGATTTCCTCAAACTTCTTGCAAGCTTCTTCATTTTCACGTACGCCGCCACTCCTAGTCGTCGTCTTCCGCTCCGCCGGGAAATTTACGATGGCAGAGCTTTGGTTCGGTTAAGGAAGGAGGCGCCACCGGGCTGAGTTTTCTTCTCAGTTTTGATTTTGATTAGGTTTACGGGTAGATTTCACAAAAGGTCCCTGAAGTTGTGTGTTTGTTTGATCTTCGCCACCTAAAAATAAAATAGCTAACTTGACAGTTGACTCCAGATGGGTTTTGAATGTGAAATGAAAAAATAAGTTCATTGACTCCAGATGGGTATTGTTGTGTTGAGACTTAAAGAGAAGAGTGGTTTATTTCTCTGCGCGGGAATTCCTCGCGGGACCGTGGCCGGTGCGTTTCTTCCTTTTCAAGTAACACGTTTATAATAAAAATTAGAGAGAAAGTACATATTTATACTACTAATTTTACAAATCTTTTCCCTCTTAAATAAGGTAAACTCATCCTAACCAAACAGGTAAACAATAACTTCCTAAACAATATACCTAATGATTAATAATATTCCTAAACAAGAACTAACACGAATAACCCAAAACAACAATAATAAATTAATAATTCACGAATAATTAACTCGATTGCTCCAAGTAATAATAATGATTAATGGAATAGCAATGTGGGGCACGAGATGCATGAATGCATCAACGTGGTAGCATCGAGTGGAGTGAGTAAGAAGGCATGGATCTGATGAATTTGACTAGACATACAAACGAGTCAAGTTTAGACATACTTTGAGTCAAACTCGTTGTCAAACGAGTCGTGTTCGAGCTAGAGTTGTTTGTTGAAACTTTGTTTGTGCTCAAATGGACATCGACTCATTAATGAGTGCACAAACTCTAATCGAGTTCGGCTCATCATATATAAACTCACGAGAGCAAGTTGAACTCAAGTGTAATAGAATTTTGTTCATATAGTGTTATTAAATAGTAATAAGTATTTAAATAATATATGCTACATAATTTTCTTTCAAATTATAAGTGAGACATATTTATTTATGTACTCAAAATCATAAACATCATATTTAGCAAGGTATATGTTCTACCAAACTTATAAATTGTCAACAAACCAACTCAAAAAACTAAATTGATTTACTCATAAACCGCTAGCCACATTGCCGAGTAACATCATAGTTTATAGCAAAAAAATAAGTTAGGTCACAATTTGAGCTCAACGAGCCATTGATTCAAGCTAATTAGCAAGCCCAACAAAACATAGTTCAAATTTGCCTCATTTGCCGCCTAATTTTGACTCCATAATAATAGGCCAGAAGCCCATATCGCTGCGGACCCGAAGCTTGAAAATCACCACAATAAAGGCCTAAATTCAGCCCGGCCACAAGTCCACCGACCCAGCCCACACAGTTCCAGCACTCATATCGCCCAATAATATATAATCACTAAAACCCTAACCCTAAAAATCACCATTGTAGCATCGCAGCTTCAGGCGGCACATTCAGGGGGCAATCACTGCACATCGGCGACGAAGCGGCAGAAGATATATCACAACCATGGGTAAGAGGAGCTTGCGGAGATCTTCTGCTTCCATTAGTGAAACTAATCAGCGGGGAACTGATTTCCGGAGAGGGGATTTCGTTATTTGATTTGCAGGTAAGGTTCACGGTTCATTGGCTCGTGCCGGTAAGGTGAGAGGACAGACTCCCAAGGTCGCGAAGCAGGAGAAGAAGAAGAAGCCACGCGGTCGTGCCCACAAGAGGATGCAATACACCCGCAGATTCGTCACTGCTGGTATGTTATCTCCCATTCTCTTCTCTCTTGATCTAGCTCCACTGCTCCCAGTATGAATTGTCCATTTCTTCCCCTTTAGATTTTCTTATTGGTATTAAAAATTCGCGTGGCGTCTGTTTCAATTGGAGGGAACTGGTAGTCAGCTCTCTTTCGCTTGGTTCGCGTAGTAAGGTGTGTAAGTGCTTCTGTTATCGTCAGTTGGAAGGAAATGCACTTGTGGGGTTGTTTTCCTTTCTCAATTAGGGTTTTGGAAACGCTGTGGTCAGTGTTGTTCCTTGGAATTATAGGGTAATGAGGACAAGTTAGCTCCTACATAGGAAAAGGAAATCACTTTCGACCTACTATACAAGTTGATCCCATCTGATTTTGAACTCAGGCCTGTCATGTGCTTTCCATCTATGGGTGTGCATTATTTGTTGCCTAATTAGTTTCGCAATGTTCATTAGGAACCATTCCACATTTCGGAGCTCTGTTTTCAATCCCATTTGTGAAACGGGATATATTTAGGATTGCATGGCTTGGTTATCGGTTTCTGAGTATGCTGTTCCTTTCTGCTTATTTGGTTGCAGTTGTTGGATTCGGCAAGAAGCGAGGACCCAACTCTTCCGAGAAGTCTTAAGCAGTGGTAGTTCTGTCTCTGTAGGGGGTGAACACTGCTCTACTGTATGTGTGTGTTGGAAGAACTCAAAATTTTGTCATGGACGTGGATTGATTTTACTTGCTATCGAGCATTGAACAGCTATTGTCGATTCAGTATGTAATGAGATTTTCCATTCAAAGAGTAGTTTGGAGTTTCTTTGGCTTAGTAGCTTTCGTTTCTCCCATAGCACAAGCTAATCACTACTGACATTGTCTGGCTGCTATCTTCTCCGTATGTCTACTAACATCGTCGTAATTATCTGGTTGTATTTCATGGATTCATCAGTAGAATGAATTGCTAGGTGAATGTAGGTTCAGATATAGTCGAGTTGGTACAAGGTCGAAGTTGAGCCATATGGTTCAGCAGGGAAGTGGAGTGGATATCTTGTGTATCTTTCAAGGTACCAAGATCGGGTGGACAACCTGATGATCTAGATGACAGGATTGGATCACCAGACCAGAGTTGTCAGCTTTTGTTTCCAGTCGGCGGTTGTTATGTAGACCAAGACATTTGTTGCTGCAATCTGGTACACTAGAGATTATGGTCTTCACTCTACCATCCCTGATCCTATCAAGACTGTTGGTCCACCATGTTAGTAATTTGATAACACATCTAAATTCGAACCAAAAATAGTTCGTCATCTGGTTCCTTTAGAGTGTGCCATCAAGGGAAGAATGAAAGGTGATTGTGGATATTGTCCCGTTGTTAGCATCAGAATAAGTTCTACTGCAAATTTAAAGTACCAACTCCCATCGGACTGGCATCTCTTTATTGAATGGCTTACATAGTTACATTTGATCACAGTCTCTGTTATTGATGATAGCATGACTCGTTGGACCTGTGGGCAAATCCTTTCTTCAGTTCCTCGCGACCTGCAATCAAGACAACCCTAAAATCAAAATCGCTCTTAGAAAATCACATCTTCGAATCATATACTGGAAATGATCTACAAAAGTGAACACAGAGAGGGAAAGGGAGAGACAGAGAGGTACAAGAGGGATCGAATTGTTGTTGCAGTATATAATAACAGCTTTGATGTTTTCCTCCCTGTGCTGGTCATTCATGGAGTATACTCTGCAGCTATTGTTTCTCACTAAGGAACCCCTGCAACTCTTTTTCCCTGTCATAGAACGCCACGGACTCAAACACAGCAAGTAACGCCTAATGCTTTTCCAAGCCGCAGTGCAGGTGTTGCAGCTTCCCATGCTAGAATGCCCCTTGTTCTTCTGGATGCTTGAACTTCTGGGTCCTTGCTTCAACCCAGCCATGGTGGTTGTCGAGGAAAAAGAAGGTAACCTCCACCTTTGATATAATCCCACTTCTTCCTTCTTTCTCTGCTTTTCCAGTCTGCTTGTTTGTGTCTGGTATGGGTTTGATCCGAAAGATAAAATGGAACACGGTAGTATCCATTACACCATTAATGTCCCTCATTTACTATTTTTACTGGTTTTGGGGATATGATTTTTTGTTTGTTTCTCATCCAGCAGTGGAATCATTCATATACAATACAACTTCCGGATCTGCTCATTTGGAAGCAATTCTGTGAGAAATTCCCATTGCAAGTCCACAATGCAACTTCCCATATCTTGGGTTCAATACATTTCCTAAAACGTAAGTTTTGGTTTCACCATGGTAATAGGATTACACGATGAGAGAAGGGAAAATCCAACTTAAATGTGAAGTGAATCTACTAAGAAGTGCACAAATATGGCGTTGCTCCAAGAAACAAGAAAGCAATCCAGCATTCATGTGGCTCTTCACAGCTCATCGTGAGGCCTTATTACTTCTTCAGGAGGCGTTGCAGATCCCGGCTGATGCTCCAGCAAGTACCTGACGGCCAGCGAGGCGTGCAGGGCTGCCCCATATGGAAGCACATCTTCGTTGACTTGGTATTGTGGTGAATGACTCGCCACAAGTGGTTCTCGAGTTTCGCTCTGCATTCCCACGAAGAAAAAGCAGCCAGGAACTTTCTCTGCATAGAAAGAGAAGTCCTCCGCACCCATCAATGGTTCCATAACTTTAAGGTTCTGGGTCCCCAACATGTCTCCCGCAATACCAAGGAAATACTCGTGTAGACTTGCATCGTTCACCGTAGCAGGATATGTCTGCTTGTTGTTCGGATTGAAGTTAATGGTTGCATTGCACCTCTGGACTTTAGCCTGCCCCGTCACAACCTGTTGAGAACCGAAATTATTGAGCCATGAACATCAATGGCAGGGCACTGAACTAACAATCAAGAATGATCCATTCATGATACTACAACTATCGCGAGAACCTGTTCGATGCGTTGCTTGATCTGGGCAAAGCTATCTTTGGAGAAGGCCCTAAATGTTCCTCCAATGGTGGCAGAATCTGGAATGACATTGAACGCACCACCTCCTTCAAATTTACCAACGGTCACCACCTGAAGCAGAATTGTATCCACTTTAAGATGATCATGAAAGCAACAAAGCAAGCAACACGCAAATGCGGTAATAGAGTCACCTGTGAGTCTAAGGGATCAGCTTCACGGGAAACAAGGTGCTGCAAGCTGACGACTATACTTGAAGCTGCAAGAATGGGGTCAATGGTGTGGTGGGGAATGGCAGCATGGCCTCCTTTCCCAGTTATCACAGCTTCGAAGAACCCACTCCCAGCAAGAAGAGGGCCAGCTCTTGAGGCCACTGTGCCAATTGGGTACCTGGTACTCACATGAATCCCAAAGATGGCGTCTACACTGTCAACCACTCCAGCTTCCACCATTTGCTTTGCTCCTCCACCTCCTTCCTCAGCTGGTTGGAAAACAAACAGAACTGTCCCCTAACCCAAATCCAACACATCATATAACCAACTTAAAAGGACTGCTTCCAGAAACTGCGCATAATGAAATGTTACATACACTTAAGAAAAAGTCAAGAAAGTGTGTTCCATTCCATACACTGACTAACGCATGAAATGTGGATTCCATGACACTTACTTTTTCTCTTGCTTAAAATACGCAAAACAAAACAATGGATTGGTCCATATGAAAGGTTAAGAAATTGAATTGATTGATGTTTCAAACCTGCAAATCATGACTATGGTGTTCCTGGAGCAACTTGGCAGCACCAAGAAGCATAGCAACATGAGCATCGTGGCCACAAGCGTGCATTTTGCCTGCAACTTTACTCTTGTGCTCCCATTCTACAGCTTCCTGGGTCAATAGCAAGGATAAACAGAAAAGAAGGAAAAATATCCCCTTTGATTCAATTTTAGCTTCTACGAGAAATGCCCACTTTGTGAATTAAGTAGCAAACAGAGAAAAAACAAGAGAGGGAAGGAAAACCCTAAAACCTGAAGGGCTAAAGCATCCATATCAGCTCTAAGAGCGACGAAAGGAGGTCCGCCGGTGCCAATAGAGGCAACAATCCCTGTAACGGCGAAAGGGTGCTCGTAACGAATCCCCAGCCGATCAAGTTCTTCTCGGACCAGCTTACTGGTTTCGAATTCCTCATAACCGAGTTCTGGGTTCTCGTGGATTCGCCTCCTGATGCTTACCATGTAATCGACGAGCTCTGGGGTTTTGGCGGAGCTGAGGAAATTGATTGGGATTTGAGCAAGGGTTTGTTGTTCGGTTGGTGTTGATGAAATGGAGATGAAGAGTGTTAGGAGGAGGAAGCAGCGCCACTGGAGAGTAGCAGCCATGGGCGATGATGCTTGGGGCGAAAGAGAAGTGAGCAGAGATGGCGGGCATCGGCTGGAAGTGGAATACACAGGCAGTGTGACGATTGACGACTTCTTTTGTAGTAGAAAGATCCAAAAGAGAGGAGGCTGGTTACGACATTACCTTGAGAGCTGTGGGGGAAAAGGACTGTTTGTCTATTTCCTTCGAGAGGTTTTAATTTGATTTTCAAAGGCTAAAGCGTGATTTAGCTCCTAAACTTGTACTTTTATTAAGCATCAAATTTACAACCTTGTCTAGGTGACAAATTGTAGAGTTTTCGGCTTACACAGCATCTTTAATGAGCACTTACTTCAAATACAACAGTTGTACCTAGAAGGTTAAGTATTGTATTATCTTTATAGCCTAGTACCAAGGCAGACTGGTCGATAGCAATTGGAATAGCCATGGACTAAAACAATTGATGTATGCTTCGGTTCATTTGAGCTACACATTTGATGCCAATGCAAATGAAGAACCAACTTGAAATTGTTCGACTAAAGAAAAAGATTTTGATCTTGATTGTATGTGGATATATATATATATATATATATATATATATATATATATATATATATATATATATATATATATATATATGTGTATGTATCTTATGTTAAAAAGAGGAGGTGACGAAGTCTATTGGTAAATAGAACGAGAGTGTGTTTAGACTTTAGAGTAGAACTAGCAAATTATGGCCCAACCCTTGATCCAATCCAAATCTGTCTGAGAAATTACAATCGGGTTGAAGTTTTTATAACCCGAAACCCGAACGATCAATAATTTTTTCGGTTGGATTGGGTGGGTCAGCGGGTCGACCCGTTTAACCCATTCCTTATCATATCTCACTCACGAAATGATAAAATAACTTGTAAATTGGTAAGATAGTTAACAAAATTCAGAAGGATGTGAAAGACAAGTTTGGAGTGTATTGATAATCAAATATCACGTGCTTCTTGTAGTAGTATAACTCTCATAACGTTCCTTGGAAATTTGTGCAATTTATATTTTCTTTCATTAGCATGTGAGGATTTGAGATATTGTGAATTGACAAGTGTTAGGCAAACTATTGACATGCATATATGAAAATTTGTGTTATTTAAAACAACATGAAGCATGTTTATTCTTCTTTCCGAAAACACTCGTAAACCAAAATGACCTGAAACCTGACCCTCAACGTTTTTGCTTGTGTCAATATTTTGACCCGAAATTAACCAATTCATCATGATCCATAATCCAAAATTCCTAACCCAGAATTATCCAACCCGACCTGATTGAGAAGTCTACTTTAGAGCAATTTAAGTGGAGAATAGTAAAGAAGGGGATCCGTGAAATGTACAATGTGTAAAGTAGAAGTGTAGAAGTGGAGCAAAGTGTCTAAAATTGTGCAACAAGAAAATATATGTTGCCCCTAAACAAACCTCGGAAAAAATCCCACTGTACACATGTTTTTAAAAAAAATTCTCAAAATACACATGTTATGAAAAAAATTCCCAATCTACGCATGTTTGGGCCTTCACCGCGTCTGACCAAGGCGGTGATTGAATCACCGCGTTAGACGAAAATGGTGATTGCATCACCGCGTTAGACAAAAACGGTGATTGCATCACCGCTGTAGAGGAAGGCGGTGAATGCATCACCGCGTTAGAGGAAAACGGTGAAGGTCTGACCTACGTCAAATCTTTAAAAAAACGTAACTTTTTGCTCGGTTATCCGATCGTGATGAAATTTTTTTTGATTCCGCATAATTTTTCGAGATCTTGCAAGCCGCAAAATCTTGCAAGCCGCAAACAGTTTGCGGCTTGCAAGATCTCGAAAAATTATGCGGAATCAAAAAAAATTTCACCACGATCGGATAACCGAGCACAAAGTTACGTTTTTTTAAAGATTCGACGCAGGTCAGGCCTTCACCGCGGCCGTCGAACGCGGTGAAGCTATCACCGTTTTTGTCTACAGCGGTGATGAATCACCATTTTTCTCTAACGCGGTGATTGCATCACCGCCCTTCTTTAACGCGGTGAAGCAATCACCGCCTTAGTCTGAGGCGGTGAAGACCCAAACATGCGTAGTTTGGGAATTTTTTTCATAACATGTGTATTTTGGGAATTTTTTTTAAAAACATGTGTACAGTGGTATTTTTTCCAACAAACCTCTACATCAAGATAAAGAAAGGGAAGCCCTGCCATGGTTAACAGTTGTAAACGGCGTCGCCGTGAGTCAATCGGCAGTTCAGCAAGTTGCCAGGGGGATAAAAATGTAATTCAATATAAATCGGCCAATGAGTATCAGCCACGCGTAACCCAGTGAACCAACTTCAACGCCTTGTGGAATTGGGGAAGGAAACGAAAAGCAGCTTCCTTCTCCTTTCTCTTTGCGGTCCATCATCCCCAACAGAGAGACGCGCTTAAGGAATCCATCCATTCCCTCTCTTCTCCACTATCAATCTCTGCTCAATCGAAAGCCCTAATTCTTTCCACCCAACCCCTCAACTCTACCCGATCTATCAATTTCGCGCTTCTTACTATCCTATTCAACAGGTCTGCGAATTACAATCTTCTCTGCTCGTTCTTTTCCTTCGTGTTGTGGGTTTTTGATGTTACATCGATCGGAATTCGTTCTATGCTTGGGACGAGTGCGGATTTGCAGAATTAGGGTTTTGATCAATCGCGGGTCTTTGATTTTTGGGTTTGTTTTTTGGCAGATCGGGGGCAGGAGGGAGTCACTTCCGATATAGTTGAAAAATGTTTACCAGGATATTTGGCAAGCCTAAGCAGGAAGGCAATGCCCTGACCACCTTGGATAAACTGAACGAGGTAAAGATTCATGCTTTCTTTCTTATCTTTCTCTTTCAGCTACTTTTGTTGCAGAGTTTTTCGGTGCCTTGAAGAGCTACTTCTTTATTGCTTTGAATGCTGTCGTGCTACTATTCTTTGGGTTATTGCGAGACTCTGGCTAATTGAGTTTGCGGTTGTTGGCATAAGCGATAGGATTTTTTGAAGCATGATACATTCTATTGGGAGGAGTGGGCTTCTCATTGTTGTTGGCTTAGATTATGTAGCTTAACGATGTGATGACTGACGAGAGCTCCATGACATGATGTATGCTTGATTCTGATTGCCTTCTGTTTGCGTTATGCATCATTAGTCTCAAAACTTGTTTCCTTTGTGTTTTACAATCTCTACTCTGTGATTGGAAAATTATGCGTTATGCTTTATTAGTCTCAACTTGTTTCCTTTGTGTTTTACAATCTCTACTCTTTGATCGGAAAATTGGATTGTTTTGTTTGTTGATGGTTTTTATGGGGGTTCTGACTGTTTGGTCTTATTTTTACTTGTGTAGACACTTGAAATGCTCGAAAAAAAGGAGAAAGTTCTTGTCAAAAAAGCTGCTCAAGAAGTTGAGAAGGCTAGAGAATATGCACGGGGAGGAAACAAACGAGGTGTGGTAGCATCATGCGCTTGTAGTGCTTTTGGATGCTGGTGATGGATTGGTGATGCAATTGCATTTGTCTTGTTAACTATGCATGTTATGCAATTTACCAGCATTCAGTTGCCCATTGCGAATTTCTTAGGGTGTTCACACCAGTTGAGTTTGGATATGAAAGGAAGAGTCTTTTTGTCGTGGATGCACTCACTATATTGACATGTATTGTTACCTGGATAGATACTTATTCTTTGTGTAGACTTGAGGGATGTGTATGCTTGCTGATGAGTACTGTTTTCTGCAGCTGCTCTTCAATCCTTGAAAAGGAAGAGACTGTATGAACAACAAGTAGAACAACTTGGAAATTACCAATTGAGGATTCACGATCAGGTGACCTATTTTTCCAGTATATGTCACTTTTTCTGTATGGACAAGCTCTAATTGTTGTTCTGGTAAATTTTATGTTACAGATGATAATGTTAGAGGGTGCAAAAGCCACTACTGAAACTGTTGATGCATTGAGAACTGGAGCAGCTGCAATGAAGGCAATGCAAAAAGCAACGTATGCAGAAATTATTTACCATTACTTTATGTATTTGCGGAGAGATTGTTTCCTTATAAGTTCAAGAACATCTGTGATCTGTTTAATGGTCATCTTGATTACAGGAATATTGATGATGTCGACAAGACCATGGATGAAATCAATGAACAAACCGAGAACATGAAACAGATCCAAGAAGCATTGTCAACTCCAATTGGTTCTGCAGCAGATTTCGATGAAGTAAGATCACATGGATGGATATTTTTGGGGATTCTTGCTTACCATCACTGTTTTCCGAATGACAATCAAAACACTGGTCATTGTGCAGGATGAATTGGAGGCAGAACTTGAAGAATTAGAAGGTGCTGAGTTGGAAGAGCAACTTCTACAACCGGCAACCACAGCTCCTGCTGCTCCAGTCCACGTGCCTGCAGGCAAACAGCCTGCTCGCCCCGTTCAGCAAAGGAAGAATACTGAGGAGGAAGACGAACTTGCTGCCTTGCAGGCTGAAATGGCGCTCTAAAGAAGGTTCAAGTCCTACACTCTCTCCCTTTTGGTTACTTTGGTTTGGATTTCCTCATCAGCCGGATTGCATTTACAGGTGTTTGGTTCAGTGTTATTTACAATAGCATCATGCAATTGAACAAATATATTGTCTTTCTTCACCACTTTTGATGATGCATTTAGCATATTTTGAATTCTACCTGCACTCTCAAATGCATCAGAATGATGTAGCCTCATATTGTATACTTGGGGTTAGAAAGTATAAGAGAATGCACTCTACTCTACTGCACTGCAGCAGATAATATTCCTGCAAATACACCTCACATAGCAAGTTCAGAATAAGTAGTGTGCAATTGAGACAAATAACATCGATCTACAGATACACGGAACCAAACACACTCTTGCCTACAAGTTTAAGCTAATCAGCTGATGGGTAGGGATGCTTTTGTATGTAGCTGATGTGATTTTGGTTGTGTTTCTTGTGTGCAGGGAGTCAGCTGCCTGTGAAACACGGTAGAGAAGTATCTTTGGGGAAGATTGGTCATTTTGTATCATGGATTCTCCTTCAAACTCTCCTTTCACGCATCTTTGTGGTGTGGCACTGAACGGTGGACCCTTTGTATATAAGGATCTTGGAAACTTACCAACAAAGTTCTTGATAATTTGTAATGCTCTCTCTTTCTCTTTTTATGAGCTTTTGGTCATGCGTCCCCATATTTTTCTACTTCTCTTCTCGGTTCTTTCCTGTGATCATAGGATGTGTGTCATCGATAACATTATTACCAACTTGGTAGCCTTGCACTGTCATTTAGGACAATACTTGAAAAGTGAATAATGAATATATATCAATTTCTGTTTTATAGTTTTATTTGTGGCCTATTCGACACGAAATTTTTGCTAATTTCTGAAGAGGTTGTGTGGCTTGAAAGTGAGATGTGTGCTTTGATTCATTGGACATAAATGGTTAAAATGATGATGCGTGATGGACGGGATTTCTCCCGGGATTATAGTTTTGTAAGGAATTCTCAAACTAGATATGTTTTGGGGCAAATTGCTTTATGTTAAAGCGGTTAATGACAGATCTCCCAACGATATGCAACAAGACGATTGCAACCTCAGTGATCAATGATTAATCGATTGCGACTTCACTTATTCATTTTACTAATTTATTGTCACTTTTCACTTATGTAATGTCAGTATATTTGTAACTGTTGACATGTGGATTGAAATTATAAGTACAAATTATTATTCATGATTAATTGTGGATACTCAAACTCAATAGGATATGAGTACGGTTTTGATATTCTATCCAATTCTTGTGTGAATATAGATAAAACTCAAACTACTTTGAGTAGGGTAATAGATGCGAACTATCCAACTACGACGTATTGCCCGAAGGCTAGTTCGGGCAACAACAGAGCTCTAGAGTAAGAAGAGTGAAGGTATACGTAGACATAGGTGGTATAACTCCAGAGCTCCAGATAATCTTGGGAGTTGGGAGTGCCTTCAGCCTTTAGGACACCTACTGCAATCGAGTTGGAGAACAGGAGGTGCAAGCTCCAAGTAGTCGAATTCGTCCTTCGCCATGGAAGCGACACGTGGACTACAAGCGTCCCCTTGGCAAATACACGTGTTGAGTTCACCTGACGTGGTAAGCGGTCATTATATACACAAGTACCGTAGCTACAAAAATGTCGAAGGAAAAACATACATACATATATATATATATATCAGCCTGCGATATCACTCATACGCCAAAATGTCGTCTACCAAGGAGCATTACTACGAAGCTGGCAAAGCCGAAGGCCGCGCTGAGGTACATACTTTCCATCTTCCCTAACAACGTTCGTTCGCTGTTTCTACTTCCAATTCCGTTCTAATTAACGGCGTTTCGGTGAGCGCAGGAGAAGGCGGGGACGATGGCAGACACGGTGAAGGAAAAGGCGATTATGTCCGCCAAGGAGACGGTGGCAGCGAAAACGGAAGAGGTGAAGGAACGGGCTGGGGACGCGGCGGAGGCAGCGAAGGAGAAGACTTACGAAGGGAAAGAGAAGACGAAAGGTGTGCTGGCTGAGACGGGGGACAAGGTGAAGCAGACAATTGGGATGGGTGAACACGACGACGATCAGGCAACCACCGCCGGTACCGGCGAGCAGAGGGAGACTCAGGAGGAGCGGCAGGAGGTGTCACTCGATCCAGAAGAACCAGTGAAGAACATGGAGGTTTTCAACATCATAACGTCAGTATGACATTAGTTGCGGATGAGGGTCTCTCTCGTATTCTAGTTTTCCTTATTTTGTTAAGGTCACATATACACAAGATAATGTATGTATGTATGTACAGGTGCGCTAAGACAAACCCTATTTATATAGTCAAAATCTATAATTAACTCGCCTTTCAAATCAATGATGAGTTACTAGCGGGGGAAAAAAAATCATTGATTGTCGGTTTTAACGATTAACATACATTTCGAATCGAATCTACCTATTGATTTGAAAAGTTGGTTATAAATGTCTTTTAGTCAAAATTGACGTTTAAACTTCTGACCAATCTAGAATATTAACCCAATAATCAATTATAATATCAAATTATGTTTTATGGCTTTATATAATCTTATATGTGTTTTACTTAATGCCAACTCTACACCAGTTTGCAAAGATGAGCCTGTGAACCAGATAGTCTAGGGAGTGCCTTCAGCCTTGGGGACGCTAACAGAATTGAGAGGGAGAGCAGGTGCAAGCTCCAAGTAGTCAAATTCATCCGTTACCCCCACCTGCAATTTAGAATTGAAAAGATGATTGATATCAGTTCAAAAGCAAGACAGCACTCTGTGTTTGAAGTTGGCACACTGGCTTCGAATTCGAATGGTTCCCTTTTACCTCCTTGAACAGGTTATCGAGTTGCTCTGTCGCTTGGGGGAAGTTCTTTGAACACCATTGCCTCAAGGTGAAGATATTGTCTGCCATTTTCAAGCACGAAGAAACATTAAGAAGATCATGATCAGAGCAAACAAGATTCAGGTCTCTTTTACAAGGAGGTAAAAGTACCTGTCCATCTGTTTGCAGCTGCATGGGCGACGTCGATAGCTTCCTCTGTGAAGTCAAAACAGGAGACATTATTACTGAGTTAGAGGGTTGTTCTGCAGTAGATCATTTAAACATTCAAACTAGAGCAGGCGCTGAACTCATTGCTTCGAAGGCAGCTGGATCATTATCTGCATATTTTGCCAACTCCTCCTGTTATACATCACACTTAGTTAGAGGGGTTCATTGTATGATCTTCATAGCTTGATGTGGGCTTGAGGAATTAGGTTTTACCTTCAGCTCGTTGTGCTTTGCTTGAAGACCTTTCAGCTCAGTCAAGGCTACCTCTCGTTCATCCTGGTTCAAGCTCAAACTCCAGATAGTAAGTGACCTCGTTTGAGCATTTTTAATAAGTGAATGCGAAATGGGACTTAAATATGCGTACTGATTCTTCACGCCCCTTCTTTAGGGCTGCAGACTGTTCAACAAGCTCCTTGTACCGCTTATTACTGCTTTCCAAATCAGATTTAAGTTTGTCGGATACATTCTTCAGCTGTTTTTACTCCAAGGTGTCAGTTCAGGGAAAAGAGAAGTTAAAAGATATGATGAATTTCAGGCTGGTAGAGGAATCAAAACATCAATGCTTCACCTGATTTCCCGCACTGCTAGGAAGGCTCCAAAAGTATACCTGGGATGAAGAAATTGTTCAGCCCTGATCTAGAGATAGAATTTCATTTGTTAAATAAAGCAGGGCAAGAGCAGTTACACACCGATGTTCCTATTTTGTCTTTTAAAACCAGGTCGTCGTCCACAAGACTCTGGATGACATCTTTCACGGACTGAGTGATTACACCTTTCTTAGGACCGAGCTTCTCGAGTTCCTTGAGCTGAAAGCACAAGCAGCGAATATCAGTTAGCAGTATATACTATAGAACCTTCAGAGTAGTGAGATATCAAGCAGATCGCCAGTACCGATTTGAACTAAGCATCATTTCAGAGAAGGAATTTAGGAAACTAAAAGTGTCGAAAAGAGAACTTGTGAGTGAAGAACAAAGGTTACACATTGAGTAATCACCTCCATACAAGCAGATGAACAAGTGAAAAAAGCGTCTCAGCAGCGAAAAGTTCACCTATTCTAGCCATATATGAAGCTCTTGATGTAAAAGCTGGAGTTAATGAGATCATTTAGAAGGGGGGAAATTCTCGTACTGCATATATTTTGCTGATTGCTCTAGCATACTATTGCCATTACCACCAACTTATTTGGGAGGTAAGACGGAATTTTCCTAGAAAATCAGATCACGGAAAGTAGTTGAATCAACAAAGTCGAGGACAACTTCTCCACTTTCATGTCATTAGGTTGACATGAAAGAAGCAGCCAAACCAAAACCAGCATGCATAACTAACTATTTCATTCCATCTGACGATTTCCACCCCCACGAATTTGACATAAACCAATCTAGGTAAAGGTAGTGAAACGGCATTCGACATTGAGAGAGCAGTACGAAAATTTATAATGCAACAGAATCAAGGTGTGTAGTTGAATCTATAATGTAACAGGCAATTTCTCCGTATTCATGTAGCCAGATTGACTTGAATGGAGAAAACCCAATCGATCCTCTGATAAATATACACATCCTCTAGCATACATAACCAACACCATTTCATTCCATCCGAAGAGGTCAGGAAAATTTTACTCACAAGAAAGAAGTCCTGCGACTCGTAAAATATCTGAAGCATCTTCTCACGCTTCTCCTCCAAAGAGAGTCCCCGTTTCTTAGACTGCATCCACCACAGTTGAAACAAAGGGGAAATTAGTCCTTACAACCTAATCGTCAATTTATCGAACAGGTAGAGGGTGCCACCGCAGTTTAAGCTTGGATGTAGCAGGGGGAGCCACTACTATCCACGACCACTCATTTCAAGTAAAATCGAACTGCAGTTGGGCATTTCATCGAGCACCTTCAGTCCATACCGAGATAACGAGACAACAATCGACTCCAGAAATTATAAGATACATCGTTCGGCAAGCAGTTCGTGGAAGCACAGGAAATTGAATATGCAATTATTCCGATTCATAAGTCCTTCCGATGGCGCAAATTGATCTGTAATACAGAGTAAGCGGGATAAAAGAAGGGAGTCGGTGACTGCGTTGTTACCATGGAGATTGGAGAACAGAGCTAGCTGGCGACTGGTGAGTGCTGTAGTCCTTGGTTTGCTACAATTGTAACCAAAACAAAGCGGAAAATCGTGATTATGGAGCCGTCTCAGTCTCTGTTGTCTCTGTGAAATTGAAATGGAAGAAAGATAGAATAGGGGGGGGAAGAAGTGCAGGAGAAGCCTCCTCTCCTTCCCTTCGGACTGATTTTGAAAATAAATCTGCACGGATTTTGGCGGGAAAACCTCCCCACACTCTCCACTCTCCACGCCGAGATGTGGAAAAATGTGTCAGCTCAACTAAACCACTGATCCTACCCTCTTTGTGTTTGGGCTTCGGATTGGGCCGGGCCTGGTCCATTTCCCTCTATCATCTTAATTTCTCACAAGTCTTTGGTAACATAACGAGCAGGCAGCTGTCGACATAGAAGACGCCCGGTTAATGACACGCGTCCAAAAAGGACACTCACCACAACACGTGTCATCACCCCAATGGCACATCACTCCCTATAATGATTATATATATAATTGCAGAGTTATCCAACTGCCGAAAACGACACGTGTAATATAAGAGTCCCCGTGGCGGGGACACGTGTTGAGTTCACGTGACCTGCTTGACGGTTATATAACCTTTCTCCACCCCGCCATCCAAAACTCACAAGCCCAAAACAACTACTACTACTACAAAGCAACTTGGAAGAGATCGAGAAGAGGAAAAGCATATCAGTCGAGGATTTCGTACACACACACATACTGAAAAATGTCGTCTAACCAGGAGCATTACTACAACGCTGGCAAAGCCGAGGGCCGCGCAGAGGTATATAATCTGGCTGCAACGTTGTTTGTTCTCTCTTTTATATACTCGTTTTATTTACTACGTACTTTCGGACTCCGATCTCTGACGGGGGTAAATTTGGTGAGTTTTTTTTTTTTTCAGGAGAAGACGGGGAGGATGGCGGACACGGTGAAGGAGAAGGCTCGGTCGGCCAAGGAGACGGCCGGAGCGAAGACGCAGGAGGCGAAGGACAGGGCCGGGGAGGCGGCGGAGGCGACGAAGGAGAAGACGTACGAAGGGAAGGAGAAGACGAAAGGGATGCTGGCGGAGACGGGGGACAAGGTGAAGAACATGGCAGCCAGCGCTGCCGACACGGTGAAGCAGACGCTCGGGATGGGCGACACCGGCGAGCATCGGGTGACTCATGAGCGGGAGGAGCATGGTCTTGGTGGTGGTATCGGCGGCACCGGCGGGCAGCAGCGCACTACCACCACCATGCGTAAGGAGACTAATTACTAGAGATGGTTTGAAGTGAGGAAGTGTACCGGCGCGTCGTAGTAGTGGCCGGGCCGGTTGTAATAAATAAGCGCGCCAGCTTTCATTTAGGGAGTGGGCGTGTGTTTGCTTTGTTTGGAGTTTTCTTTTTCGAGTCTGGGCGCGTGCATGAGATGTTGTTCCGGTGGGGAGTTTTTTTTGGATTCCTCGTTTGAAGAAACGGCACCGTGCCGTGCGTTACTAGTACTTTGCCGCCGTAGCTGCTTTTTTTGAAAGGGGCAAGGAATGGTATTTGTGAAATAAAAAAGAGGGCCTTTTTGGTATTTTGTCATTTGGGATGGGGTCTGATTAGTGATTATACGTTTAACGTTTGGGTCTACTGAGATATGGGCCTAACTACCTCGTAGCCCAGGACTAAGACCAGTACACGTTGGGCTGCTTATCTGCTCCATGAAGCGTTTAAGGCAGGTTGTTGACCCAGCAACTATAGTGCGGTTGTGGTATGTTGGGCCTCCATCGCAAGTCCAGCGCGTTTTCCGACACAAATCTAATATTCCAAAATATAAAGTGGGCATTGTTGACTGTCGTCGGCATGCGCTGAGAGATCTTACAATCTGTGGAGATGCTAAACTGATCATAGACAAGTGTTTGGCGAGGGATTCGGCCGACAGCAAGATTGGTACTATCCTGCAGGAAATTCTTGGGATGCTAGATGATGTGGGTTTTTATACGATTCAATTCATTGGTCGTATTGGGATGCTAGATGATGTGGGTTCTAATACGATTCAATTCATTGGCCGTATTCGCAACAGCGCGGCTTATAGTGGCCCGCCATGCTCTTTCTTTGTCGCCTCCATTGTTTCGGAGGTTTGACTTCTGTTCTTGGTTATATTCCAGAGTTGCTTAAACTCTGTTGATCTTCATGTATCTGAACGATTTCCTCTTTTTGAGAGTGATCTAATGGAAAAAAAAATGTTTGGTACTGATATCGAGAATTGGATACCGAAACCATAACAATTTTTTAATATTTGGTATTACCAAACATACTTATTATTTTATAGGATTGAGATTGATTCAGGTGTTATTTGATATTAGGAAATAGTATTTTATTCCTTCCAATTATGTATGTTCCCTCAATGTTACCAGACCCTCAACTGCTTAAATGGACACTTAATAATACATAGCTTGTTTTTTCGACAACCCATATCATGTTCATTCGTTCTTATATTATGGTTATGGGCTGCTGAATCGTCCTCTATTTTAGTTTGTTGCTTTAGTTTGTCGTGTTTCTTAGACACCATTTTTCCTAGTTTACTGTACTTTCGCTTTTTCCCCTATTTATATTCCACGAGTGTTGATATTATTATTTTTTTTTTTATATAGTTTGAGAATGATTTTTGAAGCTGCTGCAACCTGCAAGATGAGAAGTTCTGTATTTAATTGATAATTTTTCAGAAAATTAATTTGATATTTGGTATATAATGATATTACATCGTATTTACTTTGAGATTGAATTCAAAGCATTATTTTGTACTTAAGATATTGATATTCGATAGTGAAATATCGATACAATACTAATTTCCCCTATAGGCCAAAAGAAAAGGACACCCAACCCACTCAGCTCAATCCCACTACTAATTTCCCTACAAAACCTTTTTACTTTTTTGAGGTTTGAGCCCCTAGGCCTAGTTAGTAATTAATAACTTAAGTGGAGCTGTAATTAGGTGAAGTTAAGCTGAGTTTGCCGCCTAATCACACGACACAAACCCCCATTTTTCTTTGGTAATCGCCGCCCCCCCGCCGTAAGTCGTACTCGTATCTAGTGAGTTTGACTTGACCCCTCTATTATATATTGCCTGTTACCATTTCATGGAAAACTTTGGTTTCAAGACTGTTCTTCTTTTTTTGTTTGCTTGAGGCATGTATGATTACGTGTTCTTCAATATGTTAATAGTTTAATTAATGTGATTCATCATGAAAGCCAGGTGAGGTGAAGGTGATAATCTAATCTCACAGAAGGTCGCACGTAATCTTGGGATTAAGATTTTCCATTTTGACAAATTGTAATAATTTTGATTCAATCTTCTTGTTTTGGAGGCCCTAAATAATGCTTAACTAACCATAGTTAATCTAGGTTTTCAGAGTTGGACCAACAGGTTGGACCAAAAATGTCGGTGGTTCATAACTTAATGATTTATCGTAGGGTTATAGGTATAATATGACTCTCTACTATGATGTTTTAACAAACATGCTTCTCTATTATTTTTTACATCAAATATGTCACTGTACTTTGAAAGAATTATCAAACATGCCCTTCTGTTAAAATTTCCATTGAAAAAATCGTCAATCATGGTTGAATTGAGATTTAGATGACCCGACATCGGCAAATGGGATGAAAAATGTCAGTTTTGTCTCCTATTTTATTTCCCTGGGTCTTTTCAAAGTGAAATTATTTGAATGATTTGATTATACAAAAGAACCAAAAAAATATAAAGTGAATTTAGTAGGGATATTTTAGTCATTTGTGTCGCCCAAACTGAAGTTTGGCATTGGTTAACGGTTTTTGGATGAAAATTTTAACAAAAGTGCATGTTTGATAATTTTTACAAGGTACAGGGGCATGTTTGATGTAAAAAAAATAGTAGAATGACATGTTTGATAAAACGTCATAGTAGAGGGGCATATTATACCTATAACCCTTTATCGTATCATAGAGAGTGGTACGAGATTTATAATTAACATTCTTTCAACAATCCGAGTCATTGTGATAATTTGTTTATAACATGCATGGTATTAAAAATTATTTGTCTTTCGTGTTTAAATATTTACGACCGTCAATATTAATCGATGTATTAAAACATCTTATATTGCGGACCTAGTGTAAACCTCAGCCCAATTCTAATAACAAAGGCAGCTAATTGCAGTGTTGAATGGTGATGATGGTCAAATGGATTTGGTAGTACGTACGATATCAAAGTATAATTAGAATATTAGTAAGCTAGTTAATTAGTCATTTGCAGTAGGAAGAAAATAATGAGCACCTCTTTCTTGTAAATCAAGCAAATTCCGTACCTATCCAGTTTTGAACAATCAAGTATATTAGTCTGTTTTGTTTGGTGGTTTTCTAAAATGTTATTCCCTAAAACTATGATTGAGGACAGGATAATAATAAATGCGTGGTCCTAAATCCTAATTAGATGAATTTGAATTTATGTGATATATGGCATGTTTTTTTATTAATAGCAAAGTGAATTTTATTTTTATGAGAACTATTTAACCAAAAAATTACAAAAGGTGAATTTTGGGAAATGGCTAATATATATCATTTTGAGAATATACTTCCTTATTTTAAAGGAAAAAGGTCTAAACGGAATTTTTTTAATGATGTAACTTTTATCGATTAGTGAGGTCCACCGTCCACCAGTTTTCATAGCTATTTTTCCAAATTCAAAAGAATGTATGTGATCCTTTATATAATAACGGTGATTTTAGTTTTTCCAATATTTAACAAATAAAATGTAATTTTATTCTATTGAAAGAAGTTTATACAAGAAAGTCATTAGAAATACATGAAAAATAACTCCACAATCACAATCATGTATGCAGGGAGAGAATTTGATGTTGAATAGTAAGATGCCTTTAAGAGGTTTTGTTGCTCGAAAGGTTGTGTCTCCAAATCAACAATTTTCTCAATGCTTTAAGTATAAGGCATAGGTGCAAATTCGAGATCTATTGATCCTTCGTTTTATGGGGATATGCAAGAGAATGACTATATTCATTCACCAGATTCTTCAAAAAACTCGAGCTATTGGAACAAATCAATCGGTTACCATCTAAGCATAAAGTATATATATACGATAGATTTTTGCAAACTTAAGTACACAATAACAGTATTATAAAGATAGCAAAAATGAATCTTGCTTTTGTTCCCTAAAGATTGCAGCAACACTCAATGACTCGATTAACTTGACAGGAAGGAAAGAACCATCATACCTGTTGGGCATGTGACTCGGGCTTAATCGCCAAGGCAAGACGCGCTGAGATAGGGCGCGCACGAGGGTCTAAAGCGCGCAC